CCCGGTAGAACCCGCCGGCACTGGCGGTTCCGATGCCGAAGAAACCGCCATGGTCGAGTCCATCACCGGCGGAGCTTCCGTACCAGAAGCGACCACCTCGGAATCTGCCGCATCACAAATCACCGCCTCCGCCTATCTGCAGCCGGAGTGCTCAGGCTCGCTTGACGATCTGGCTCGCGATCTCGACTCGCTCCACGAACTCGCCACGCGGGGCTCCTGGCAAGCCATTCTCGACAAGATGGCTCAAGCCAGAGCCGCTTCGCTCCTCTCCAAGCCTCACGAGGATCTCACCTATCTGACTTTCCAAGTGCTGGCTCTCACGAAGCTTCGTCGGTCCGCCGACGCGGCTCAGGAGCTCAATTCATTGCACGATTTCGACGGCCCGCATTACAGGTACGAGTCGTACCCTGAGATCTACCCGAACCGGACTGGATCCATGGTCCCTTTCTCTCTCCGGTGGCTTTATGCTTTGATTCCCACCAAGCTCGGTAACCGTCAGGAAGGTTTAGATCGGTTGTATATTTTACTGGATTATGTTCGCGAGAGAATCAGGGAGAAAGAATCCAAAAATTTAGATGCGTCTGTGGATATGTGGAAAAGAAGGGAAGTTTTTGTGATGAATTGTTTGATAGGGTTCCATTTAGGTCACAAGGAATTTGGGGTTTCCTTGGATTTGATCAAGGAATTGATTAGTCGTGATCCGATGGACCCAGTGTTGATTTCGAAACTAGGATATGTTCAGATGCAGTTTGGTGACATAGAAGGAGCGAAATGCACGTTCAGTCGAGTTGAGAAGATGATGAATGAAGGAAAGAGCCATGGATTACTGGACGAGACACAGTTCAAGAACCTTGTGGGTAGGAATAAGGCTTTGGTCTATCTGGTGGGGAAGGACTATGTTTCGGCAGTGAGGGAGTACGAGGAATGCATGGAAAGAGATAATTCAGATGTTGTCGCGATCAACAACAAGGCGCTATGTTTGATGTACTTGAGAGATCTGTCTGATGCGATTAAGGTGCTGGAGAATGCGTTAGAGAGAGTGCCAACCATGGCTTTGAACGAGAGCCTGGTGGTGAACTTGTGCAGTATGTACGAGTTGGCCTATGTGAATCACACCGATATCAAGCGGACGTTGAACAATTGGATTGCCCGTGTTGCTCCCGATGACTTTGATTCATCTTGCACCAGGGTTTGAAGGTATATTATTATTCCCTCGCTTCCTCTTCTATCCGTTGTCCAGGCTTCATGCACATGGATAGCTATGGTATAATGCCTTCTGCAAGTCCTAAGAGTCATGAAGGTAACTAGATAAGGGATGTGTCTTGCATCATTGTCCTCGACTTCCTTTTGTTCTGTCTGTTTCCATGAGGATGATGGGGATGGAATAAAACCTAAAGCAATAGCTATAGACCTGAACCAGATCATTCATGGCTGCTGGCTTTATGTTCATATCTTGGCATTGTTCGTCAATTTCAGTTCAATTCATATCTCTAGCGTTCAAAATGCAGAGCTTCAGCTAAGCAAAGGTCCGCCCCTTTGAAGGTAGTTCACAAGTTCTTCAAAGACAGTTTTTTCAGTTTTTGGTTAGATTCAGCCCCTTCTATCGGTTGTTGTTGGAACTTGGAAACTCTTCTTCTTGTTGCACCATTTTGTACACCCCATATATATCATTCGTCATTTTTACCTTATTTGCTTACACTATATATATACATATATATATATATATACTGTTAGGGACAGCGTAAAGAAATAGAATTTTTGTAACCTACTTGGTTTTCAGTTGATTAACATAATGGTCTAATCAAAGACAAACGCAAAGTGAATGAACTTGGGAAATGAATATACTGTCAGGGACAGCGTAAAAAAATAGAAATATATGGGTATTTAAAAAATCTAACTTGAATAAACTGACCAATGAACCATGTCCACGTGTACATACGAAACTGTCGTCTTCTAACAAAAAAAAGGGAGGGAGAAAGTGATAATAACCACTTGCATGGTCCAGTGAACTCATCCCACAACAATGGAAGACCATATGGAAGCCAACAAGATCTCTGTAATAGCGGAAACACCATGAGCATCTTTTCATTCAAAGTAATTCTCTTTCCATGTCCGGTTTCTCGTGAAAAGCATATATATATATATATATTGGTGTAAGGATCGATCACCGAATCACCTTTCATCCTAAATCTGCGTATATATGCGTATAAGTTGATAAAATAAAATAAAAAAGAGGAAAAAAATTAGGAAAAGGAAAGAAAATGAGAGGCGTGATGACTCATGCTTAAAGTTAAAATCATGACAACCTTTCACGTGTCTCTCATTTTCTCACCTTTTATATATATATATATATATTAGATTTTGTTTGGGCATTTTAAGCATCATGTAGAACCCTTATTGGCGAACGAACGTATACGTATGCATGTACAGCCACAAACACTATTTTCAATCGTTTTCCAAGCCATTCCAAAAGAAGTATATACGTCCTTTTGTGTATGTATGTTTTCAAAACCCTAATTAACGGACGAACGTACGTATACGTGTGTATGTATAGCCACAAACACTGCTTTCAATCTTTTTCCCAAGCCATTACAAAAGAAGTGTCAATATCACTTTTCATTTTCGATAATTGGGTCCGAAGCTCTTTATACGTGTTCCCTCTTCTCCATTCTGTTTAGCAATCAAACCACTCCCATTGGTGCGTTTACAGGGAATCGAATCTTCTATATACAAAGCATCAAATCTCTATATCTGTCGTCGCATGCAAAATGGACCGAATTTGATTTACTTTGTTTCGAATTGGAGAGATTGAATATCCTTCATTAATTTCAGTTAATAGAAATCTATATATTCTTAGCTTAGATTTTATGAAGAACGCAAAGGCGAAATTCAATCGAAGAATGCAAATATGAAATGACATTAATTATCAACCTCTCTCCATAAACACAAACGCATATATGGTTTAATAAATTATGAACAGAACTTCACAATAACAAGTTGAACTTTTATTGGAAGAATGAATACATGCACTACATAAGAAATTACATCGGGAAATTCACATATATTAATATATTTGTATACATCTCTAAATACAAAAAAAATAGAGTGGGATTCTTGTCGGACTAAAATCAGTGTGTGTAACATGTGATATGGGTATCCTCTCAATTATTCACGAACAAGAGAGAGAGAGAGAGAGAGAGAGAGAGAGAGAGAGAGAGAGAAGAAACCTAATGCAAAAGCTTAAAAGCAGAGAGTGTACCTTTTTTTTTTGTCGATGGAGGAGAACCACTAAATGGCTAGACTCTTCAAGCTTCGACTTTGTTTTAACCACAAACGATATCATGTGGCCATGGACGTCTCTTCTTCTTCTTCTTCTTCTGCATCCCCCCTTTGCCCAAATGCATCTTTTCTTCATCTCCTTTACTTTTTGGCTCACAATTATTCACGACACCGACTCTTTTAACTGCCGTGCTAATTAACCCCGCCTCGTAACCCTTCGATCCAGATACCGTTTAGCCACGCGGACCGAACAACATATTGGACAGTAAATCTTCGAATCTGTGCAACATACGACAAACCACACGAAACAAATAAAACAGCCGAATCTTATCGACTCAACACAAAGCTTAGAACTAAGAAATTAAACCCCCTTCAAACCATAATCCATAATGTTATAGTTTCACCAAAAAAGAGAATCATTGGATTCTACTATATATTTAGCATTCACCTCACCAAGAATTAGTTAAGTATTTATTTGTATGTACAAAAAAGGAAATAGTTTTACTGGTTATTTTAATAAAAATAATTACAAATTCGACGCCCGTAACACAATATTCAAGACTAAAAGATTCCTACGTTACGGACCCATAGAAAGAAGACAGAAAAAAAATACTACCATATGGTTAATAATACTCCGTATGTTAGGGGGTCGTTAATTAACTCCCCCACGCGCCGTTGCGTACGTGTCATTACCGTCTAAATAATTGCCCCCCTAAACGGCGCGTGGTGTTCACGTCCCTGTCCCCGGCCAGAGCCAAAGGCAAAACTCGACAAACCCTCGTTTCGAATCACATCACAACTTCGCACCGCTTCGAGCACCTTCGCCGGATGGGACCCGCTAACAAGGGAAAGCAACAAGACTTGTCCTCCGCGAGATCCCGCCACGTGTCTGGACAGTCTCTGACGTGTCATCACGTATTCTTGAGTTCCCACGTGTATGTCTACACGGGTGGCCCAGTGCCCACTGGGCTCGCTTGGCCTCGGTCCGGCGGAGATCCCCACCTTTTGCATGGCCACGATTGCTCTCTGCGGTCACATGCACGGGGTCGATGGACCCCGTCCACTAAGATCGTACCACGTGTCGCTCCCTCCGTAGCGCTTCGTCTATTTATACGCTCCTTCGTCGCCAAATTGAGAGCACGCCCTCAGAGATCAAAACAAAGCTGAGAAACAAAACCAGCTCGGTTTTGCGAGATCTCGATTTCTAGCGTGAGCAGAGAGAGAGAGAGAGAGAAAATGTTCATCGAGAGCTTCAAGGTCGAGAGCCCGAACGTGAAGTACACGGAGAATGAGATTCACTCCGTGTATGATTACGAGACGACGGAGCTCGTCCATGAGAACGTTAATGGTGCTTACCAGTGGATTGTGAAGCCGAAAACTGTCAAATACGAATTCAAAACCGATGTTCATGTCCCAAAATTAGGGTATATCTACCATTTTCGTTTTGAAGTGCGAATCTTTGCCTCGTTGTCTTGATTTTCCCGAATTAGATTTTGAATTTATGCGCATTTCCATGGTTTAATTTGATGTTGGCGATTCGATTTTGCAAGGGTTATGCTTGTGGGTTGGGGAGGAAACAACGGTTCCACCCTTACCGCCGGTGTAATTGCTAACCGAGAGTAAGTATTCTGTTAATCACATCTCTTAATCTAGATTAGTTGTTCTTAATCACGAAGGTTTTGATTAAATTTGTTTGAAATTGAATTGGAAAATTGCAGAGGAATTTCGTGGGCTACCAAGGACAAAGTGCAGCAAGCGAATTACTTCGGCTCACTCACTCAAGCATCGTCCATTCGTGTCGGGTCGTACAATGGAGAAGAGATCTATGCCCCTTTCAAGAGCCTTCTTCCTATGGTACTTGCTCACAGAACATCATGTTCCACTGTTTTGTAGAATCGTTAGCATTATTATGGACACTGAGACGAATACGTGTTGTGTTCTGTCTCAACTCCTGAGTTAGTGAAGTACTCAAGTGCTTGACAGAAAAATGAATGTTTGAATGAACCCTCTTGTCTGTTTGCTGTGGAACAGGTGAACCCTGACGATGTTGTGTTCGGGGGATGGGACATAAGCGACATGAACTTGGCGGACGCCATGGCAAGGGCCAGGGTTCTTGACATTGATCTGCAGAAGCAGCTCAGACCTTACATGGAGAGCATGGTTCCACTCCCCGGGATCTACGACCCTGATTTCATCGCTGCAAATCAGGGCTCTCGTGCCAACAGCGTCATCAAAGGCTCCAAGAAGGAGCAAGTCGATCAGATCATCAAGGACATCAGGTGACAACTTTGAGTTCTTTAAGTTGTGTTCTTGATGTTAGATTTCGGATAAAGACTTTTCCGGTTTAGTTTCTTGATATTGGGTAATGGTGATGATTAGGGAGTTTAAGGAGAAGAGCAAGGTTGACAAAGTTGTGGTGCTGTGGACAGCAAACACAGAGCGTTACAGCAATGTGATCGCTGGTCTAAACGACACAATGGAGAACCTCTTGGCTTCTGTCGACAAGAACGAGTCTGAGATCTCACCTTCAACACTTTACGCCATCGCCTGCATTTTCGAAGGTGTTCCTTTCATCAATGGAAGCCCCCAGAACACATTTGTCCCAGGTCCTCATCATAAACACTTTTTCTCTCACAGGAAATCACTTGTAACAGTGTAGTTCTCCGTTCTATATTCAGTGCTCACTTGTTTATCGCTGTGTGTTTTTGCTTCGGTTGCAGGTCTTATCGATATGGCCATCAGGAGAAACTGCTTGATTGGTGGGGATGACTTCAAGAGTGGTCAGACCAAGATGAAATCCGTCTTGGTCGATTTCCTCGTTGGTGCTGGTATCAAGGTAAAAACTTCTATATATATATACATACAGTACTTGATTGATTCTCACATGTTTGGAATGATTTTCTTGCTAGCTAAGAAACCCGATTTTCTTTGCTAATGATGATGGCCATTGATGCCTTTTTATGTGTAGCCTACATCGATTGTGAGCTACAACCATCTGGGGAACAACGATGGAATGAACCTCTCAGCCCCACAAACGTTCCGCTCAAAGGAGATCTCAAAGAGCAATGTCGTGGATGACATGGTTGCCAGCAATGGCATCCTCTATGAGCCCGGTGAACACCCTGATCACGTTGTTGTCATCAAGGTAAATGCAAAGATTACTCTCATTACTGTTTCACACCAATGGGATGCTGCTGCCGTTGATTATCTGTCCTTTAACCATGGCTGTTATCCATGGCCAGTATGTGCCGTATGTGGCGGATAGCAAGAGGGCGATGGATGAGTACACGTCGGAGATATTCATGGGAGGGAAGAGCACGATCGTGATGCACAACACTTGCGAGGACTCTCTCTTGGCTGCTCCCATTATATTGGATCTTGTTCTTCTTGCTGAGCTCAGCACCAGGATCCAGCTCAAAGCTGAAGGAGAGGTTTGTGTCCTTGTCTTCAACTTCAAGCTGCATCCTCCTCAGATCAACTCCTTTTTTACGCGGGTTTGGTCTCTGTTTTGTTTTGTTTGCAGGGAAAGTTCCATACTTTCCACCCAGTGGCCACCATCCTCAGCTACCTCACCAAGGCACCACTGGTAAGTACCCTGCATCTTTTTATCATGCATCGCACCATTGTCACTGATCAAGTAGATAGATTTTTAGCGGTTGGTAACTGGGTGGGGTGAAATGGCAGGTGCCGCCAGGGACGCCGGTGGTGAACGCGCTGTCGAAGCAGAGGGCAATGCTGGAGAATATACTGAGGGCGTGCGTTGGGCTTGCGCCCGAGAACAACATGATCTTGGAGTACAAGTGAACCAGACCATGAAGAACGCTGTTCATCTGTTTCTGTTTAGTATAAAACTGTCTGTGGGGTTTGAAGTCGTTCCCTTTGTATTGTTTCTGTAATGGTGGAATTGCGTGATGAAGAGCCTGAGGTCTCTCCTCTTCCACTTTTTGTTTTTGTTCTTCGAGAAGCACAGGTCATAAGCTTAGTTAAATTTGGATCAATGTGTGAAGATTGCTATTTTAAAAAAACAAAAAAATTGTTACTTTGATATTCTCACTACGGTATTTTACTTTTAAGGCTGAATTAATATGTTCTTCGCACAAGAGCACAGGCCCATTAGCTCAGTTGGTTAAACTGTCGACCTAATAACGCGAAGGTCGCAGGTTCGAAACCTGCATGGGCCACAGGAAATGTTTTCCGAAAAATATATATATTTTTTATTTTATTATGTTGGGCTCACACGTATTTAAATTGATTGGCCTTATTGCCTAGTCTTACCAAATAAGATTTGTTATTACTGTTGGGCCTTATTGGTTGCTTATTTTAAGTTGGGCCTATTAAATTCATCATCATCGACATTATAAGCAAAAAAACCCAAAAATTGTAAGAACAAACTGATTCCACTTTGACAACCTAATAAAAATAATAAAATCGGGAAGAATCTTTGCTTTATTTTGAAGATTATCTCGAACACTGGCTTGTTTGTGGTGGCAGAGTTGACATTTTTAAAAGTCAACTTCTTTTATCGAATTTATAAAAGATATATATCCGCATTACATATCTACCTATCATTTGGTCATATGTTGCTTCCGTTTAGTGTCCACTCATCTCTCCCTCCACTCTCTCTCTCTCTCTCTATATATATAATTGCAGTTTTGTGGGTTGACTTGTAGGTTATATGAAAATTATATAGTAAAGGTTGACTTTTGAGTTGAAGATAAAAACTTGTAAGGCACATGGTCTGTATTCGAAAACTCGTGGCCGTGAAGTTACGTTCATCGAATTACTTTCTTTAATGAATGCGGAGACGAGCCGTCCATTTTGTAACGATAATATTAATTGTTACATTTTCACGCAAGGAATCATGTTTTTTTCCCAATGTATTCTTAATCGTAGTTGTTTGATATCGTCATGATAGCTATTAGGGTTGGGCACAAATATCCGAAAATTGGATATCTGTCGGATACTCGTCTCACGAATATCCGATTTTAGGGTATTCGTAATTTTCAAATCCGAATCCAAATTATAATTTTTCAATATCCGTGAATCCGAATCCAAATTCAAATAATAGAATTTTTAAAACCGGATACCGCGGGTACCCCACTATTATGATTATTAATAATTATATCTTATGTTTATATAACATTTTTATAAAATATAATTATTTTAGATTAAATAATTTCATATTTTTTAATATTAATTCAAAAAATTAAATTTATTATTATTTATCTCTTATTATCTCTTTTGTCTCGTATATTTTATCATAATTCATCAATTTTTATAAATATATCTTCATTTTTTGAAAATTTTATATATGAATATTGTCGTTTTTCTTAAATAAATCCGGATCCGGATATCCGCGAATACTCGACCATTACTCCGGATATCTGTACTCTGAATACTCGTAAATACCAAATCCCATATACAAATCTTATAGTTAAATACCCGAGCCTGCGGATCCAAATCTCAATCTCTTGATTTTCTCGAGTATCCGACCCGTACCCATCCCTAATAGCTATCCATTGCAATGCGGTGTCATCACAAGCATACAATTTTGGAAAACTATATGGATATTGACATAGAGACAACTTATTTATAAAACACATACAACACACATCTCAACTGAACAATCCCTGCAACATTTAGAGGGGGAAATTGCAAAAATAACCCAACTTGTCGATTTGGACTTCACGCCATGACCCTCTAGGTTTAGGGTTTTAAAAAAAAAAACCTAAAATAACGAAAAGACTAATTTGCCCATAAAATATTGAATACGTGGCAACTCACTGGAAAACATGAAACGACAACTCTGTGTTTCCAAAATTTTAAACAAACAAACACGAACGGTTTCGTGACGAACGTCTTCTCCTCTCCTCCTGTTTCTTTCTTCAATCGCGAGTAAATCTGTCGGTTTCTTCTTACAAAATCGTCTTCTGTCGGCACAAATGACTTCGTCTTCGGCTTCTCTTTCGGTTACTGCTTCGATTTCTACTTCAGAAGATCTACAGGTACTGTATACTCGCCGAAAAAACTGATTGCGTCGTTCATCCTCTCTTTGTTTCGGGTTTAAGCTCTAATGTTCGAGTCGTTTGGGTTAGAAATTAGGGTTTTAGGTAAAAGATGGAGATTTTCAGAAAGACGAGTCAATGAGAGTTGAATTTTTTGGTCAGACGGTTATATTACTCGAATTAGTAAGACCCATGAAATGGGTAGACCAATGAAATGGTCAGACCAGTGAAATGGTCAGACTGTGAAGTGGACAGACCAGTGAAGTGGTCAGACCCATGAAATGGTCAGACCCGTGAAATGGTCAGACCCGTGAAATGGTCAGACCCGTGAAATGGTCAGACCCGTGAAATGGTCAGACTCGTGAAATGGTCAGACCCGTGAAGTGGGCAGACCAGTGAAGTGAAGTGGTCAGACCCGTGATGTGGTCAGACCCGTGATGTGGTCAGACGAGCGTAGTGGTCATACCGGTTAAATGTCAGACCCGTGAAGTGGTCATACTTCACTGGTATGACCAAATTTATAGTCATCATAGCTTGTCTTGTCAATGTAATATAATAAAACTGATCATGAGAGTTAATCTAATTGTTGCAGGTCCCTTTTGTGTATAATTTCAAGGATATTCAACATAGTCCAAAGATCTCGACGAAGTGTTATGTATTTCAGATCACAAGATCTCTAAGAAAGGCTTTAACAAGCGAAGAATTGACATATTTCAATACAGAGTCTCAATTTCGTCACATTTTTCATACGAAATGTGAAGAGACATTGAAGATGGTGCCAGTGTCTATTCTTATACACCGTGCATTAAGGTTGGAAGGAGAGGAAAAAGAGTTTTGGTTTGTTGTAAATGGCGTGCCCATCAGATACTCAATCCAGGAACATGCCATTATCTCCGGCTTAAACTGTGACAACTATTCGGAGGGCTGGACTAAACGTAAGGGAAGCGAATATCGGAAAAAAACATTCGGAACTTCAAAAGTGACCATAGAAGCCGCATTAAAGAAGTTGCGCGAAACTCCACATGCAAATGTGGAGGAAAGAAAGAGATTAGCGATAATTGTATTGCTAGGCGGAGTTTTAGCTCATGGTGCCAAGAGCAATGATGTCATAAACAATGATTTAGTGGACATGGTCGAAAGTCTGGACTTCTGTGAAGGGTTTCCGTGGGGAAGATACACCTTCGATAAGATTAGCGATCAGATTCGGAAATTGTATAATAGCGGCCCTAAACCGAAGGACAATTGGCATTGTCCAGGATTCGTAATACCACTTATGGTGAGTTATATTTTGTACTAATGTTTGTAATGTAAATTAGTATTTGAGTATATTTATTGAGAGATATAATGAATTGGTTTGTATATTGCAGTTTCTTCCTTTCGAATGCATCGAAAGTTTAGGCGCAAATGGATGGTATATCGATGTTGAAGGTGCCGATCCGACTTGTCCTAGGATGTGCAAGAAACGCATCAAACCGGATCTTTTTATGATATATGCAAAGGTGTATAAACAGATTGGCGATACCTCAAAGGTACGTATTAATTTGGTCATTTCTTTTGTAGTGTCACCAGTTGGATTGGTCGGACCAATTGAATTGGTCTGACCAATTGAATTGGTTGGACCAGTTTGTGATTAGTATGACCAATTTGTAATTGGTCATACCTATCATAATGTACTCACACGAACCATTTTTTGCAGGGATTTCGAAGTGTTCTTCAAATAGACAACAATGAAGAACATATTCTTTTGAATGTGTATGCTGAGCCAAGCAGTCATCCAGTTGTGCAGAGTTGGATGCAACGGTTGAACGAAGATCCGACAAGTATTTGTTTCCAGAAAATTCTTGCGCTCGATGTCAGTGCCAGGGGCTCTGGGAATAGAGCAGAGAGGAAGAAAAAAGGCAAGGGAAAGATTCAAGAAGAAAGAGAAGAGGAAGAAAAAGAAGGAGGGGAAGAAGAAGAAGAGGAAGAAGAAGTTAGAAAAGAGGAAGAAGAAAGGCAAGAACGAATACCGATTGGTTTTGAAAGGATGTTGGAGGAGGCAATAAAAGCTTCTGAAGAAAAGATTGCCGAAAATGTTGAAAAAAGAATAATTGCAAAGGTGGAAAGAATTTTGAAGAGGGCAGGCGTTAGTGTGGAAGTATTGAACTGGTCTGACAAAAGTGAGAGTTCTTCACCACGTGATGCTTCAGTGGGGAGATCGTACAACAGGAATATTGACTTCCTATTCAAACATCGTGCTTTCCAGCCAAATGAGATTTTCTCACCACCCGAGCAAGGTATGTTCACACTTAAATTTTACTTTCTTTTTTCGTCAGACATGACTCCATATAAGTCTAACTAGTTGGACCAATTTAGAATGGTCAGACCAGTTATACTTATGTGGGTTGATGAGTCTGACCAAATAAGTCCGACGGTATGACCAATTTAGAATGGTCAGACCAGTTATACTTATGTGGGTTGATGAGTCTGACCAAATAAGTCCGACGGTGTGACCAATTTAGAATGGTTAGACCAGTTATACTTATTTGAATATAGGATTGAGTTATATTATTTTAATTGATCTTTTGCAGATTCACATGAGCAAGAAGCTGATAATGAAAAGATTTGTGGCACTCCGAATAATTCTGATGGTGATATGGAGGATGATGAAGAAGGGATTTCTGCTACTCCTCCAAGGCATATCGAGATTGATGTTGAGCATGTCGATGATACTGGAGACCTACCTCCTAAGGAGGATGCATCAAAGAAGGATGCAGATGATGCATCAGAGAAAGGTGTGGAGGATGCATCAGAGACCAATAAAGAGAATGCAGAGGATAAATCTGACAGCGGTGTGGAGGATGCATCAAAGAAAGAGGAGAAAAATGCAGAGGATGCAGAGGATAAATCTGAGAGGGGTGTGGAGGATGCATCAGAGAAAGGTGAGGAAAATGCAAAGGATGCGGAGGAGAAGAGTATGGAGAATGCAGATAATGCATTAGAGAAGTCTGATGAGGAGGATGCATCAGAGAAAGATGAAGAAGAGAAGGGTGCAGAGACGGATGTAGAGGATACAATTTGGAGGTTCCAACTGGAAGACCCAAACGCAAAAGAAAACAAACTATCAAGAGTCCATACGTTGCATTTGGTTCGGCTGATGTACAACCCAAAAAGCAAAGAAAGAAAAGAGAGACCAAAAACCAAAGGTGGACAGCGAAGGTTTCGCTACGATCTCTGAACCTCTTGTACCAAAAGAGAAGTCGGTTTATATATGGTGCCCGAAAGAGCCCGTAATTGATGGTTGTCCCTTCCGCGATGAGAGTTTTGTTCAAACAAGCACCCTCAAAGCTACCGCGCTGTTCAACTTTATGAAAAAACCAAGTGAAGAGAGACTTTGGAGATCCGGTCTGAATGTGATTAGGCCATCACAGTTTTGGGAAGATCTTCTAATGGAAGGCATATGGCTCGATAACAACGTAAGTGTTGTATTCATAAACTTTTAAATTTTCGTTATTTGTGGCATTAAGGTTCTGACTTGTATGTTTTTTTTTGTTTTTACAGCATATGGACGAAGCATTACATGAGATACGGAACCGTATTGTGAATAGTGGAAGTGCACAAGAAACGCGGACGTCCTTCTTTCTTTGCGATGTTCAATGCATTGAAAACTTCAAATGGTGGGAATCGGGCCGGACAGAGCTCGGAGAACTTGAAAAATACATCATTGGCGAGTTACCGTTTGATGGTAGGAATAAAAGATTGGACCGGTACAAAGGTTTCGTTAGTGTGGTGAACATTCCGTCTTTGCAGAATCGTTATGTTAGCGTCCACTGGATCACCATTAAAGTGGACTTTCAGGAATCATTGATTCAAGTATTTGACTGCAACCGGAAGATGAAGGAAGCGACACTTAAAGTCATAAGTCATTTATCCAGTGTCATTCCAGAGATCTTTGCATTGTGCGGTAGCGGATTCATTGACTTCACAAAGAAGTTTATGATTGATATTGTCAAAGACCTACCTCATAATGAAACCGGAAATGAATGTGGCTTGTACTCGTTGAAGTTCGCGGAAGCACTCATGAAGGGTGAAGAAAACCTATTGTCAGAGGTCAATGATCAAGTGATGTATTATGTACGCGAAAAGATTGCAGCTGATATATTTGCTAATGGAGAGATAGTCACGGTGCATCCATCTTAGTCATGTGTAGGACTTGTACTTCTTTTTAATTATTTGTACTTGTTGAACTTTTTTTAATCATTTGTACTTTTTAAAACTCTTTCTAATCATTTGTACTTTTTAAAATTCTTTCTAATCATTCTAATTGAACTTCAAAATGTGGGAATCGACTGATTGTAACACATTGGACACAATTGATTTATGTTGGTAGATTTTTTTTTGTACCAGAATGGTCAGACTGTCAGACGATCAGATAGTCATACCATGGTCAGATGGTCAGACCTGTTCGAAATTGCGAGATTCATCGGTTTAAAAGTGTTAACATCGTAATAATCATCTCGTATGATCGATTTATCTAGTTGAAATTGGTCGTAGCAATATGGACTGAGCATCTTCTTTTGATGTCAAAGTAACTCTTTCCAAAGAAGACCTAAACTACTAGTAGTGTTTGTGTAACACATTGGACACAATTGATTTATGTTGGTAGATTTTTTTTTTCCACACGAAATTAGAACTCTAAAACGATGAAAATGTATTCTTATAACCCTTATACAACTTTTCTAATCGTTTGAATTTAATTTAGGTCCTTTTTTTTGTACCAGAATGGTCAGACTGTCAGACGATCAGATGGTCATACCATGGTCAGACGGTCAGACCTATTCGAAATTGCGAGATTCATCGGTTTAAAAAAGTACATTAAACCCACAGAATCATATGATAATATGGTCAAAGTAGAGATATCAAATACAAATACGGAAATACGAATTTAAATGTACATTACACCTACATAATCAAACTCATTTATCAAAATCGTCGAGACAGTCATACTCTGGTCAAACCAGTCATACCAAATACAAAATCAGAAATACATTCCACCCACATGATCTTATGACAATGATATGTTGGTTGAACCTATCGAACGTTCTTCTTTCGAGCCTCGCCAGGTCCAGGAAATCGGTTTTGCTTAGGCCTTCCAATTTTTTGTCTTTGTTCCACTATGGGCGGTAAAACTGTCATATTTGCAACGTCGGGTGGAAGGATCCAATCACTACAATCAGGAACTGGATACACTGTCTCTTGATAAGCCAAACGCCATGTCTCGCGCAAATAGTATGCAGAACATAATTCGTATATCATATCGGCTTTTCCGATCGTATGTGCTGTTGCAATTGCATGACTGCAAGGGTACCTATCCACATCAAACATTTTACAACTGCACGTTCTAGCTCCCAGATGAACCAAGTGTCTTCTACCTTTATCATCTCTCACCTCGAACTCGCCACTAATACTGTTCAGTTCTTGAACCTCAAATGTACATGCTTTCTCGTATCGTTCATGTAGTTCTTTGTAAACAAACGATGTTAACTTTTATGATTGATCACCACTACCGACTTCCAGCCTGTACCTATTGAACCATTCCACCGTCTTTTCGAGACAAATATCTAGCAGACATAGCAATGGAAACTTTTTTGCCTTCTTCAAGACGGAGTTAATCGACTCGGCTCCGTTGGTGGTTAACAAGTTATACCTTTCACTCTTGAATTTACACCTTGCCCATTTTTCGGGAGCAAGTTCTTCCTTTTCCATATATTCAGCCACCTTGTGATATCTACAAATTATGAGATATATTCACATTAGTTCACAAATAAAAGCAGTAAAACTGGTCAGACCAGATAGAAACTGGTCATACGAGTAACAAAAATTGTACCTTTTCTTCAGATCATTGTAAAGCACTTCAAAATCGTTGATCGTGTATGCAGCTGCGCATTTAAAGAACAATTTACTGATAGTCTCACCAGTTGAACTTTTTCTTCTTGCACCTTTGTTACAATGGACTTTTAAGTTTTGTGATATATGCCTCACACAAAATCCATGTTGCGCTTGTTTGTATACTTCTCTCACAGCTTTGATTATACTTTTATGTCGATCAGATAACACAACTATATCGGGACCATCCAATATTACTTCGCTCAATCTTGTCATAAACCATAACCATGAGGCATCTTTCTCTCTATCAATCACACCCCAAGCCAAAGGATATTGGTGATGATCACCATCTTGAGCAGTTGCCACGACTAATGCTCCTTTATATTGACTCGTCAGAAATGTTGCATCAATAGCAATCACTTTACGCATATACTTCCATCCATTTATGGTTGCACCTAGGGCAATGAAGAGGTACTTGAAGCTTTTACGATCATCGTCTAACTGAAGACTCACTCTAGTTCCAGGATTTCTTTCTGTCAACATGTACAACCAACCAGGAAGCCTACTGTAGTGTTCCTCATGACTACCACGAATCTCTTCTTGAGCACTATATTTTCCTCTTAATGCCATCATATACGATACTGTCGCACCGTATTTTACTTTCATCCGTTCTACTATCTGTTTTGGTGTAGGAGTTTCAAGCTTACCAGAAAATTCTTCATTCAAATAATCTCTAACCAACATCGATGAACCCTTCGTACTTGTTTCGGCTTCGGCTACAGGTCTGCAAGTATGAATGGGATTATGTGACCTTACACTAAAACGTGTGGAATTCGAAATCGCTGCGATACGCAATCTCCAGTTACAACCTGAACCTTGAAACTTGCATCTTAAATCCCATAATTTCTTAGTAGACTTCACTGTCACAAAACCAAAACATGCCTTAACCGCACCCTTCCGTACATATTCTTGTGCTGCTTCCTTGCTTTCAAATTCGTAGCCAATACTAAAATTCAATCCATCACTGAAATTGAATACCGAAATAGAAAACGATGTGTCCTCCGTAACTACCAATGCCAAATTATTCTCGCCATCAACATCATTGCCAAATGATACACAACCATCAACTTTATTGGTTTCACATGCCATATCGATTGCATCATCCCCATCTCTATCTCTTTCACCATCCACATCTCTTAAAACAGTTGCATGTTCTTCATCCATTCCATGTTCTCCTAAAACAATAGTCTGTTCATAATCTGAATCACTTATGATTTGTATAGTATTACTCGCACCTTTACTCTTGAGATCAGGACTCGCAATAATATTGTGTTTATCAACATCTACACAAATCACAGCCCCATGTGGTCTATTTGATGGCCCAACACCACTGGCAAAATCTGGAACAAAACATTCTCCACCATGTTTATGTCTAACTTCAACTTCCCCGCTCAAATTTACTTTTTCAATCTCCACATATAGCATGCTTCTTCCTCCGTTGAATTTGTCCATCAGATAAACAAAGACTTGTTTGTCGCTCGATATGTAAACCGGCTCAACATATCCTTTTATTGTAGGCAAATAACTTAGCTTGATTTTGGATTTATCTTCGTCTATATCCATGTCAGAATATAACTCTTCAACGAGGCGGCTGTAACTCAAATCAATCGGATGACAAGGGAATATCACTCCTTTAGCATCTTTAGCTTTTCCTTCCCATTCATATGCTCCGATCGAATTTACTACCCACTTGCCACCAGATTTATAATAAATAATCGTCATCCTTTCATTAGTTGCATCCATTACACCTGTATAAAATAAACACAAAATGTGATAAAATGATACGCTTGAAAAATGTCACAGGTTTGATGAGTATTACCAGTTTGACCAATTTCACGAGTATGACCAGTTTGACCAATTTCACGAGTATGACCAGTTTGACCAATTTTGACAAGTATGACCAGTTAGGAGTATGACTAGTCTGACCATTTCGACATGTATATGTTACCAGTTTCCCGAATTCTCCCATTTTAACGAATTTCACAAATATAATGATTTCGACCAGTTTGAATAACGTGAATCATGGTATTGCTGATATATATGTCATTTTTGCTTCAAACATATTCATATGGATTAAATATCAAAATGATAAAATAATAAATCACAAATGCCCAAACTTAATAACCAAATTTAGAAACAATACTTACCTTTTATTCAGATCTGTGTTGAATCGATGAAATGCCCAAGTTTAATGTTGTTTTTTCGCAACAAATTAGTTAAAAAAAGACTGGAGATGAAGAGAGTGAAAACTACTGAACAGGAGAGAAGAGAGAGCGGATGAGGAGAGAGAGGAGCGGGAGAGGAGAGAGAGAGAGCTGAAATTTATTTTTTTTTAATTTAATAATAAATAAAAAATGAAGGGTATTTTTAGAAGTATATTATTATAAGGTTATCACATGATGTTGTCTTTTTTTTTTTAAAGTGGGGGTCATCACGTGAAGTAAAAATGACATTTAAAGTCATTTTTGTAAATCCCCCGAGATAAACAATTTTTTTTTTTTTTGGGTAAAGGAGGTAAGCAATATTTTTAAAAAATAATTTATTATAATGAAACGAGAAAAAGAGACATCAAAACGATTTTTCTTGAAACAAAGTCGTTTGCTAGATTAAAAAAAATTAATATTGATGTAAGTGGCCATACCTAACTTTTACTATACATACATATATATATATTATATATATATATATTGAGAGAGAGAGAGAGAGAGAGAGTTCTACGTATGGTAATTTTGATGTGTAAACAGTGGGTTTGAAATGAAAAAGGTACATTCAAAATTAACAAAAATATGTTACAAAATTAAACATATGTCTATACCAAATTCTATATTTTAAAAAAATTTGAAATAGAACGCTAAATCGACAAATTAAATCGTACGGTACAGTTTGGATCACAATTCAAAAGTTGTAAGAAATGTCCATATCTTTAGGATGAGAAAAAAAAAAGACTCATCAACAGCCAATCGATCACATAAGGAAATGTCCATCCCATGACTTGAAGACGGACCAAAACCAAACGGCGCCGTTTCTTTCGCTCTCGGCACGACAAGACAATGCTTTAGTTTCAACAAATGGAAGTGGTTTGAAGATTTTTGTTCCTCCCCTACGACGCAACAGCCAATTGTTCGGTGCCCTTCTTATCGTCGTCTCGAGAGAGGAGGGGTGACGTCCACGTAGGATTCTACGCGTGAAGATGAACATACAGTCGTGGGACCCATGAGCCGAAGATTCGAATGTGTGGGTCCCATGTTGTGCGTTTCTATGCGATGAGTAGTAAGAATTGATGGTGTCGATTACGTGGAAGCTTTAACTAGGTCTTCCGTCGTGCTCATCTTTCCCACCAATAAATGCGCAATTTTCGTTTTGTTTTAATATTTATATATATATATATGATTTATCTTCTCACCATTTTGTAAAAATAACGGCCAGATCCAAAGCACATGCGAACGTTGCTTTCTAATTGGATGGCTTCCTTGGAATAAAGATATCTGACGAGAAGATAGAGACAAAATTAAATAAAAATCAAATAATATTTTACCAAATTATTAAATTCTAACAACTGTTAGACTAGTTCGATGGCCGGTTCGCCGTCTTCCCTTATATAAGGCAGAGGACTGCGGAGCCGTTGAAACCATGAGCGACAAAAGCGAGTTCACCTTGTAAAAAAAACGAAAAAAAAAAACGAGTTAACCTTAGATTTCGAATTCGAATTCATCAACTAAGAGGGTGTGTTTTTAATCCCTCTCTGTTGATTCCCCAATCAAACATTTCATCTGGGTATCTTCAAAATCTTACCTTTTTTTTTCTTACAAGACATAGGTACTAGATATATATACATGGCGGCCATCGATATGTCTGATAGCAAAGCAGATTTCTCAGATCCTTCAAGAGAAGAGCTCATGAAAGCACTCGAACCTTTTATGAAAAGTGCTTCTCCTTCTCTCTCTCCTCCTTCCTTCCCACTGCCAATGTTTCCCCAGCTTTCTTTCCTACCAAACATGGGATTCGCTCAAGCGACCCCTCTCGGTCTAAATCAGCTCACTCCTTTTCAGATCATCCAGATCCAGCACCAACTCAACCAGAGACGCACCTTCGTCTCCAACCTCTCTCCAAAGCCTGTCCCCATGAAGAACTTCTCTTGCTCTTCTTCGAAATCGCGGAAGCTTTACCGCGGGGTAAGGCAAAGGCACTGGGGCAAGTGGGTCGCTGAGATCCGCTTGCCCAAGAACCGAACCCGTCTCTGGCTTGGAACCTTCGAAACCGCCGAGGAAGCCGCCATGGCTTACGACCAGGCCGCTTACAAGCTCCGAGGCGAGTCCGCTCGGCTTAACTTCCCTCACACCAGACACGACGGCGATGGTCTTGTCGGTAACTTCAAGCCCCTCCACGCTTCCGTCGAAGCCAAGCTTCAAGCGATTTGCCAGAGCTTGAGGAAAACAGAGGAGTCGTGCTCTGTTTCGGCTCAGACCGAACTGGTTCAGCCCAAAACAGAGCAGGAGACGGAGTTATCCGACAAAACCGAACCTGGGTTCCCAAGATTCGATGGACACTCGTTGTCTGATGAGTCTCGGGCTGGATCTTCGTCTCCGGAGTCGGGGATTACGTTCCTGGATTTCTCGGATTCAGGGATTGACGAGATCGGGAATTTAGGGCTGGAGAAGTTTCCTTCGGTGGAGATCGATTGGGAAGCCATAAGCAAACTTTCCGAACCCTGAGACGCGTTGCAGCAATTGCCCTTTTGCAGATCTATCTCTTTGTCTTCGTTGTCCGTAGTTCGATGTCTCTGCCACATAATTTTTTAAACGGTCGCAGAGCATTCATGTCGGTTACGTCCGGGTCCCTTTTCTTTTTTCTTTTAAAGGGTTTTGCGTCGTGTCATGACAGTATAACATAAAAATGGTCAGTCTCCAAGTTTGGTCCGACTGGTAAATTTTTAGTCCTTGCCCGGCCATTGGAGATATATCTCATGTACCATGCATGCATGATGTATTACGTTTTTTTCAATAAAAAAAATTATAATGAACATGTAAATTATTAGTGAATTTTGCAGGTCTATTGTGTTTTTCTATTCTTTTAGTTTTACAAGAAATTATTTCTATTTTTTATTGATAACTTCAAATGTGTAGTATTCGATCTCGTTCCTGAAACCTTACATTATACTCTCTCCGTTTGTTTCAAAATAATGACGTTTTCAGATTTTCAATATATTTTTAAATATATTTTTTTTCCAAATTTACTCTTATTTAAGTCTCTATTTAATTTTAGATGTTGCATAAGGCTAGATTTTTGTTTTAAAATGAATGACGTTTTGTTGTTTTCTATATAACTTTTATATTTTTTTCCAAAATTATCCTTTATTAATAATGGTCAATTATTCTACGCCACAATCATATTTTACACATTTTTCTATTTTTCTAGCATAATGATTGTCAATTAATTTTCAACTAATATCTTTTTTTAATCTTATTTAAATACTTTTTCTAAAAAACATTATACAAAACGAAAAATTTCAAAAAATTTAATAGTTCAGCTAGATGGAAGTGAAGAAAGAAGACGATATATTTGTGAATAATATTTCATCAACCAAGAATGAAAGGTCTATCTCGATTTCTTACCGTTTATCTAATATATTCAGATACTTTTCTGGTTGACTTTTTTTCTATGATATTCTGATCATTTTTTGTATATACATATAATGTGTTTGGTGAAATGTCTATAAAAAAAACTGTAGAAGATGACATGTCGTCTGTGAAAATGACCTGCGCTCTGTGGTAACCTACAACTTATGACAGATGATCTATAGTCCGGCAGATGACATGCGACACATGACCTGTGATATGGCACAAATGACCTGCGGTCTGCGGCATGTCACCTGCGACCTGCGGCAGGTCATCTGCAGTCGGCCGCAGGTCATCTTCGGCATCTACGGCTTGCAGTAGGTACCTATGACATCTGACGCACTTGCGACCTGATAACTATGACCGTGATTTCACTATAATCAGATAATTGCGACCGTGATTTCACTACGACCAGATAACTACGATCGTGATTTCACTACGACCAGATAACTACGACCATGATTCCACTACGATCAGATAACTACAACCTTGATTATACTACGAACATAATACAAATACGACTAGATAATTAACGATAACTACGAATGTCGAACATAATACAAACGCGACCAAATAATTAACTACGACCATGTCTAATTACCTATTCTCTCGATCTTTTTGCTGGTTGGACCAAATCTTTTCGTCTATATCTCTTTGCGATTATGTGATAATCTGTCTTTTAGAAATCAGTGCGTTTTGAGATTTGTCCTTCTATTTTCTCTAATATTTTCTCTATTTCTTATAATTTATCTCATCTAATCAAATATCCTTCTACCTGATTTTTTTTTCTATGGTATTCATATGATTATTTTATTTTATGCGCATAAGGTGTTTGATGAAATTCCTGAAACAGAAAACGGCGGCAAGTTCCAGTATGTGACCTGCGACCTAGGGCAGGTGACTTGCCACAAGTGACTTGCGACATGCGGTAGATCACCTACGATATGCATCAGATTACCTGCTAACCTGGTGATGTGATGACCTACTGACCTACTGACTTGATGACCTGATGAACTGCAAGTGTTTTTTCACGAAAGCATGCAAGTGTTTTTCTATACTTATATAAGAAAATAAAATCTATATAAATATTTTTTATCTATGTGGAGGAAAATAAAATTTATGCGAGTGATTTTTTTTTTTATAAATATAGAAAATCTGTAAGTTGTAATAACATAGAATGTTATGATGGTCATTTTAACTTAAAAAAATATAGAATACAAAGATTACAATAGTAGAAGTATAGAATTCAAATATATTTTTTTTGCACATTTATGCAAAATTTTTCTAAAATAAAATCAACACCGAATGTCAAAACAATTAGACTCCAGATCCATTCACTAGTCCATTCTCATCAGAACTCGTGTAATTTTCATGGAATCTAGTGCCCTTTATTAACAGGAAAAATCACTAAAAAAACTATTTAAACTTTAGAAAGAGATAAAAGGTAATATTCAATTATGGTTAATTCTGAATTTGTTTTATTCGTTTTACAACTATTTCAATTCGATTATTTCGAATTTGGTTATTTTGGATTGAAAATATTCATATCCAATATGATATATTATTTTAATCGGTTTGATTTGATTCGGATATATATCGATTGGGTTAGGTTCGGATAGATTTTTTAACGTATTTTTTTTTATGTTTGTGTTTAGGGACTTATTTGATAGAATCTATAAAATATATGTATATTTCGATGAATAAATATAAGTATAGAATTTATTTGGTAAAAAAAAATTATAAGGTTTTTTTTTGTCTAATATATAAAGAGTGCAAATATATTTCGGCGAATAAGTATAAGTATAAGATTTTTTTGGGTAATAAAAAAATAAAAAAAAATTTCGAAATATGAAGAACACGATTTTTTTTGGTGATTTTTTTATTACTATTACTAGGTAACCACCCGCACATACACGGGTTATTCTTTTTCTATTATTCTTTTTTATTGTAACAGTTTTTATATTGATATAATAAAAGTGATATAGTTTATTTGTTTAAAATATATAATTTTAATATTATAAAATAATCATTATATTATCTGTATAAAGAATTGAAGTTTTAAACAAAAAAAAATGTGAAAAAATATGAATATCATTGATGACGGATTAATGTAGATAAAATTATATATAGTTCTTGGTTTTCTATACATATACTCACAACATAATAATAATTTCATAGTAAAATATATATTATGTTTTAAGTTTTTTTGTTTCATATTGCTCCAAAAAAGATAGTTGTACTATTTTATAAAATATTTTTTTTATAAACTAATTAGTTATGTAAAAGAATATTCTCCATATTTTTATTTTATATTAGTAAATTACTATAATGTAACATAATTTTATAGGTAATAATTTATAATTATTGTTTACATAAAAATATCCAAGAAAGTGAGTACAAAATAAAGAGATATTAGGATGTTATTATTTGTAACATTGTTGAATTAAAACTGATTATATATTTTAACATAATATTTATTTTGTATAAAAATCATTTGCTTTGTTTTAAGATTAGTATTTTCATTTACATAAAAATTAGATATGATGTATAATATTTTTAGGGACAAAAATATAGAAATATAAATATAAATTTAAAATTTAAAATTAAAACTATCCATCCTTAGTATAGAAAATTTAAATGTAAATATTTTTCCAAGTTAAAAATTTATATATCAAATCCAAATTTTGACTTCACCTATAAGGAAAATTTTATTAAATTGAATTTTCTTAATTTTTCAACATATTTTTTTATAAATTAATTTTTTTATATTAAAGGATAAAATTATTATTTGAAATTTTTAATTTTTATTCTTTGTACATAATCGATAATATTTTAAAAACATTAAAATTTTAAAATTATCAAGATAATAAATAAATTTTAAAATATAAATGCAAAAAAACAAAGTTTTATTATATATAAAATTCAGCAAAATAGATTTTTATATAATAAAGATGAGTTTTTTATTTTTTAATTATTCATGTGCAAAAATTAGTAGTAATCTAAACAAATTATATATATAGATAAAGGGATTTTTAATTCACCAATATTAATTTAAAAAAAGCTGCTCAATGGAATATTTTGGTGATTCATATGTTGGATTTCAAAACCTAAATATACATAAAACATTTCTTGAATTTGTCGGGGAAAAACATATAAATATTAAACATCCTAACTTTTCATATCAAATTATTATTATTATATTTAACATTATTATTAAAAAATACGGATGAGATCATGAATGTCGTTTAATTCGATTTTGATATATGCATCCGACAAATCTTTCGAAATAAATTTCCGTATTTGATTTGTAAACTCCGGATATCATAATTTTTTATTCATATATTATTATTATTAAATTGCAAAAGTTCCATATTAGATCTCATTTTAAAACAAAGGGTACCTACAATCTTTAAGAATACAATTTTTATTATTTCATTACAATTAAAATATTTTTTACAGGTAAAAAAAATGACACTGAAAACTCTCTAAACAAATTATAGACATGGAGCATATACAAAATCTACATCGAATAAACTTAACCAAATACTAAATCGAATGCTAAATCAATACTCTATAGAGATTACATCGCACTTTCTAAGATAAACCATAATTTCATCTTCCGTCTAGAATATTTAAAATCAATTATATATAGAATTTTAATAAACTAATGAAATTTTAAAACAAATACAACATGGATGATGATGTGTATGTTTAGATGTTTTCACCAAATAAAAAAATTCATCAGAATGAGATAAATTCACCTGTTTTATTTTTTTATATTCAAGTTATATTTACAAATATACTAAGAAAAAACTAAATTAAAGGGTCTAACATGCTTCTATAGTACCAAATGATCGAATAGACGACTTCGTCATTTAATGCAACAAATATTATAATGTATGAATGGATAAAGGTTAGATTGACATTAATTCATTACTCTACACCAGATCAAAAATAAATAATGTAAAAACTATAAATAAATAAATAAGAAATTAAGCGAAGATCCTTCGGCGAATCTGCAAACCCAATTGGCACTTGATGTCAACGCACCGTCGCTCGTCGTGGTAGTGTCGGCAAAGACCGATATCTACGTGGAAATGGCAATGACTAATGAGAGTTGCGTCAATTCGTTTTCAGGGGTCGTGTGCCATGATTATGCAGTTTGGATAATATTAGTTCGGAGTATTAGAGTTGGGCCTCAACACGGTCCATCAAATTCAAACCTAGGTAATGCACAATTATTGTCCAAAATGATTTTAAAAAGGATAGAGTTAGGGGCTTGGACCGATTTCATGAGGCCTCGTGTCCAAATTAAATTGACATTTATATATATCTTAATTAGATGAACCTAATTTTATTTGGGCTTTTAATCTCCGTTTCTATTGGCCGCATAGTTACATATATCAAAATTATATGAATCCATTATTATTCGGAGCCTTTGATCTATGGATGGACCTATAAGATTGCGACACGTCGACAATGTGTATCGCCGACAAAGACGATGTTAAGTTTAAAACAACAAACATGTCGTTAAGTTTAAAGTTATCTTGAATATCTGGAAAAAAAAAAGGAAGAAAAAAAAGTTGAATTTAGAGTGTGATGGCTATCCCAAGCTTCAACTTTATATTCCTATTTAGATTAAAATAGATAGAAATTAAAATTATGAATTAGGGGACTTAATGCAAGACACGTCGAAAGTACGTAACGCCAACGCGGAGCTTATTGGGATCAGTGTCCCACCGATTATAATATACATTTATTTATATATTTCACCATCTTTAACTGTTTCCGTTATATTTCGTTTTTGACTCTGAAGATAAACCCGTACATGTACGTACACATCGTATTACGATTTAGATATGTTTCATGCATGAACTAATCATAAATGCACGTGTTCTAATTATCTTTCCTCGAGCAGGTTTTAACCTAACTTCCGCCTCAATTTCAGCCCGTGAAGACCATAATGAATTTGGTTATGAGGAAACAACATATATATGGAAATACACATTGTAGATATATGGGGATGGTACTTGCGAATGTGTAAGAAAGTTAAAAAGCCGTGTACTCTACTATATATGCCTCGAATCCTAAAACACGATTAAAAAGCCAAATGTATTCATAGTATATGTATCTCAAATCCAAAACACGATTATGGATGTCATGGTCTTTCTAATTATATATATGTATGGTAGGAAAGTGTAGTCCACTGAAGTTCCGAGTCCATGAAGATATAAAGGCAAAACCAACGTATAGGTTGGTGGTGGCTCTTCGGGAGTGGAAAGAGTTACCAAAGTTCCCCTTTTAACACACTTGTAGACAAAGATAATATCTTTCTTTTTTAGCAATTTTAGCGCCAAATAAGTTAATTATAGTTTTATCGATAAGCTCGAATTAAAGAGTTAAAGATGTATATCCATTTACTAACACACGCGCGTTCAATCTTTCTTATAGAGTAAATTGTGATTTAACTTATAGATATAACTTTTGCAAGTGGAAGCACATATGTTTGGAGGGTGATGCATGTTTTTATTATGCCCATTTATATATGGATATGGCTAACTAATTAGTAGATAGGATTAATTTAATTAAGTATTGTAAGAGAATAAGATAAGCGATATATAAAACTCTTTTCTTTGTGATTAAAGGTGATATATATCTCTTTCCTTATCTACAATACATTTGCAAGTTGTTCTTCATTATATCATCATCATCATCTCATGTAAAAATATTAATTAAGCCACTTTCTTTATTTAAATTAAGGTTATCAATCACTTAATTTCTCTTTAAATTGTTCTTAAAATATTTTCATCTCATTGGTATTTATGAGCATTTCCAAATGATTGGACATTTCGATATTATCATTAAATATCAATAAGAAATGTATTGGTAACTCTAGAAAAAAGGCGTATCTTTCTAGGAAATAATATTTTATAAAAGGACCAACTTGTTACATAATGTAGGATACTCCTTCTCTCACACATAATAATTAAGATATAGAGAGCATATGTATATGTATACATATATATATATATATTAAATATTTTATGTTTAAATAATCGTAGATACATTGGCATGGGATATTTTTTTATTTGCAAATAAAAAAATTTAAAATTGAAAGGTATCCACTCATTTTTTTTCACTTTGAAATGAAAAGTATCAGCGTAGTTAGTCTGCCACCATCGCTATGTATGTGTGTGTGTATATATATATATATGTATATAAAGAGCTATATGTCTTCGTGCGTAGCAGTGCATCATAAAGCTCCTGGGAAATGTTGATAGGTTCTATCATTGTGTATGGCATTACCGCCCAATAAATATTTTTGGAGACAAACAATCAATAACGGTGTATTATTGAAGGTATGCGTGGAAAAAGATTCTTTGCGAGTCAACATCAAAATTGACGTGGCAGTTGCAAAAGGTGACGTGGACCACGGGAGTCGTTGACGTGGCATGTTTTGTCAAAATTGTCTTATTGGGGTCCACTATCTGCGGAGAGTTTGGAGATACGATTGCCGTTAGCAGTTACTTTGAGTTCGGTTTTGCAAATGGACTAAAACTATGGTGTTCTCTTTTGTCTTAAGAATTTAGCTCTCATTATATTAGGGAAAAACAATGAGAAATTGAATTTTAATTTCATTTAAGGATGCTATTCTAATAAAATTAAGTTTTTGCGTGTGATTTGTATTTTTATATAACATTGGACCCGGTTAGAAATATGGCTCAAAGATGTATTTGATTTTCGATCGACCGTTTCAATCTTTCGCAGCCAGTTTGAAGAGCATAAATGGTTCCGAACCGACAATAAATTGATTTTCAAGACTAACGAATGAATGGCAATAAATATTCCAACAAAAGCTTCTCTTCACATGAAATGCTGCCTCTTAGGGATCCACGTGGTGGGTGGAGACACTCTTAATCCTTAGGGAACAAATGCATTGTCGGACGTCGGAGCTTTACCTCGGCCGAGCAAATATATGACCTTGAGGTATACATGTGAACAGTTTAAGTATGAAATATAATTACAAATAACGATATAGTTGCCGGAATCGTTGATAAAGTATTTAAATAATTTAAAAATGCGGGAGAGTCTCTCAGTCCAGCGGTTGATGACAAGCCCCTCACATTGAGATTGTGGATTCGAAACCTGGGTATAGAAATTCTCCTGAACCGGTCAATTTCATCTGGTTTACCTGCTCTGCGTGGCTTGTCAGCTGTTGCGCGAGGTCGGAGGGTTTATTGTCCGCGATACCGATTATCCACCCCGAAGACTGTGAGGTGATGCAGGATCCGGTTCGAAGGACCGTATGGCGAGTTCCCATCATTATAAAAAAAAAATTTAAACGCGCAGAAGCTTGAACTAAGGTTTGTGTATGCATAAACGTATACATACATATACTATTCCTTTTTTTTTTTTGTCAAGAATACTATTCATGCTTAGATAAGATAGGATTTTTTTTTTTCATAACAGTCTGACCGGGCCGAACATTGGATATTATCCCACATTTGTACTAGCTAATGATAACATTGCTCCACAGGACCACAGATTATGTATTAGTCCTACGGTTCAATACATACATGGCCTGCATCATACGGTATTAGCAACTAAATATCAAAAAAAAAAAAAAAACTAAATATCAAACTTAAGAAATGTCGACCATCATCAACTTTTAATTAATGTTCGGCATCCGTATTTATGAACCTCGCTGAAATTTGAAACAAATGAAAATGACGATGATGGTGATGATGATGATGGTGATGGTGATGATGATGATGATGATGATGATGATGATAATAAATAAATAAATCAAATGTTATGATCAAGAGCTTAGTTAATTCAAGACCCGAACCCTCGAATCAGCTTTCATGCAATTCAATCGGTCAACTAAATTCTCTTCTCTTTCCTTAAGAATCATATGCAAATTCTTCAAAACTTCAAGAGAATGTTCGTGTGCATGCATGCATTCACCTGAAGCTACCTCGTATAATTCCATCCTACTGCTAGCTCTACAAATACCAATAATGAATAAGCCTTCATGAAATGACAAAAAACCCTTCATGAATTACATCATAATAAAACGGGTAATAATAAGCTTTAAAGAATATGTGAACTACCACTGGACATATATATATGTACCAGGTGGTGGCCACGCAATGGCTATACGACGCACTGGTCAACGACTTGACCACGTGGCATCCAGTAAACTGGAACATCTGTCCATTAAACTGTAGTCCTCGAAGTGGTTCTCAGATACTTTTGTCGTATTATCCAACAGCGATGTCATGAATGATGATTGGTTGATGCTTACAACGTTTTTCGGTTACGACCGATCATTTGTAAGCTTTGTGAAATTACCTTCGAATCTCCAAGATCTTTCGATGTTTTTCATTATAGTTAGTTGTATGACGGGTGTTTTTTTTTACACTGTTATCTCATAACACCATTTAATTATGGAAAAAAAACTATATCTGTATTTGGAAAATGTATCAATTTGGAGAAAATTAATAACTTCACACAATAGATCATAGATTTTAAAATTGTCACGCGAGATTATGTGCGGCACACGTTCCTTAGGATCGTTTTATCGGGGCATGAAAAGAACTATTTTCAATTCGGTTCACATGAAAGAAAGTGAACATACGTTAACTAAAATATTGTGATATGAAAATTTTGATAACCTTTTAAGGTATTAAAAATTAAATTCATAATTTCAGATATTTGAAATAAGTGTATAATTCTAAAAGGTTTTCATTAAACCTAATTGATCCGACATATCGCAATATTTGTATGATCTTTTTCTCTTGGTCGAATCGACTCTTGCAAATGCATGTTAATAACTTCCCGAAATGTGAATTTTTTTATTCCATAACAGAGTTCGAAAGATACCACGTTTTCTTGGAAAAACATAATCTGTATCAATTCAATTGAAATTGATTTTTGGTTTAAAAAATCGGATAGCAGTTTAAATTTTTTATGATATTTTATTTTATGTTTAATGACAGCTGATGGTCATTATACAGCCGATTTTATTCATATACTGAAAAACAAAATTAAAAACGCGGGGTTTTAGAGAAAAACTAAATATATAGTATAGTAAACAAAAAAAATAACAACAATTTATTAAATTTATACAGATGCAGCATGGTCCTAAAGCAGGAAACCACGTGGCGTTTCCAGGAGACGCCTCTACGTCCCTGTTTATTGTGTATATTATATACAGATAAAAGAAAAATCGCGGGAAAGGAAGAGAGGCCCACTATTTGCCAGATGGAACCATTTGTGGGTCCCACCATCGCCAAAAAACATATATCTGTTTTTTTCATTTATTTTGGGGTAAAAAAACATGTAATTTCGCAGCTATAAATTCGGACAAATCTCGCTTCCTATCTCTCCCACACATTCATTCTCGCTCTATATCTCTCTCTCTTTTTTCTTTAAAAAAAAAAAAATCTTAGAATCAGAACTGTTTCTGTCTCTTTTCTCTTCTTCTCTGTCTTGTGTCAACTTGGGTACTGGGTTTTGGAAAATGGGTGAGCGTATTTTCGATCAAAATGTGTTTATCGACATGAATACGTATATATGTTATGCACACGTCGACCCATAACGTGAAATTACGTGTCTGAGATTCCCGACTTTTTGTTCTGTCTTTTGTAGTGAGATTTATCGAAGAGAACAATAAAATGGCGGGGAAAGTGGGAGCTGTGACAGACAAGAAGGTCAACTGCGGAGGCGGAGGAGGAGGAGGAGGACTGATCAGTTCTTGGGTTGATTCCATGCGATCTTCTTCTCCCACGCATCTCAAATCCTTTGGAAGGCAGAGTTCTTGGATGGTACTATCTCTTTCTTCTTCTTTTTTTAATAAATATTTTTTTTTTTATTTTGTATTGAAAGAGGAGATGAAAATGGGAATTTGCAGACAGAACATCCATCAGCTTTGGAGATGTTCGAAGAGATAATCCACGCTTCTGAAGGAAAGCAAATCGTGATGTTTCTGGATTATGATGGAACCCTGTCTCCCATTGTCAATGATCCCGATCGGGCTTTCATGTCCAAAAAGGTCAATTTTTTTTGTGAGAAAAAAAAATTCTTACTGGTCTGTAATTAATTATTAATTAGTGTATAATCTGAAATTTTCCAGATGAGAAGAACGGTGAGAAATCTTGCGAAATGCTTTTTTACTGCCATAGTGAGCGGCAGGTGCAGAGAAAAGGTGAGATTTTTTTTACCATTTTGTGATGATCATCACGGTGGGGTTGATTACGAATAATAATCATGGTATATTTAATTAATATTATTAATCGTTATAATTTTGCAGGTTTATAATTTCGTGAAATTGACCGAGTTGTATTACGCCGGAAGTCACGGCATGGACATCAAGGGGCCCGAGAACGGATCCCTTCTCTGCCAGCCGGCGACGGAGTTCCTGCCAATGATCGACGAGGTTAACATTCCCTCTGATATGCCCATTTTTCATGAATTGATAACGACGTGGATATTTGTATTTTATTTTATATAAATTAAGCGCTACTTTCGACTGAAATTTTATACGTTCGGCTTTTGTCCCCTTTTTATTTCAGGTTTACAAGAAATTGGTGGAGAAAACGAAAACAACTCCCGGATCCAAGGTTGAGAACAACAAATTTTGTGTCTCGGTGCATTTCCGATGCGTCGACGAAAATGTACGATTATCCATTCATTAATAATTCAATTTCATTACGAATTTCTTGCAGAAAACATGGTTCGAAAATATAATTTCTTAAGAAATATATATAAACCACTTAGTATGCATTTACAGATGTGGAGTGAGTTGGCTCATCAAGTTCGATCGGTCTTGAAGGACTACCCTAAGCTTCGGCTTACTCAAGGAAGAAAGGTGGATATATATATATATATATATATAAATTAAAAGTTTAGTGTATATGTGTGTGTGCTTATATATATATATATATTAAGGTTGAGTTTTTATCTATTTTGGTTTAATTTTTATTATTGGGTTGCAAGCAGGTTTTCGAAATTCGTCCTATTATCAAATGGGACAAGGGCAAAGCACTGGAGTTCTTGTTGGAGTCACTTGGTAACCCTATCCGAATGCTTTATCAATGAAGGAGAATACAAATATGTTTGATATAGTTTACATTATTAATTGAATGTTGAATTGGATCATGTGCAGGATTTGCTAATTGCAAAGACGTTTTTCCTCTTTATATCGGGGATGATCGTACCGACGAAGATGCTTTTAAGGTATAATTTGTTATATATATATATATATATAACAATAAACTTATAGAACTTAATTTAATTAGATGATCAATTAATGTTGCAGAAATTGAGAGAAAGAGGGCAAGGCCTTGGGATTCTTGTCTCCAAATTTCCAAAGGAGACCAGTGCTACTTATTCCTTGCAAGATCCCAATGAAGTAATCTATCTCTCTCTCTCTCTCTCTCTCTCTCTCTCTCTATATATATATATATATATATATAAAAGTAGATGAATTCACCTTCTTTTATTGTTTTCTCTGAAACAGGTTATGGATTTTTTGCAACGTCTAGTGGAATGGAATAAATTGAGATCTGGGTCGTGAAGACAACACGAGATTCTTATTCGATTACTTATATATATAGATTCGAGCTGATTAGAGCGTATTATTGAAAAATGTAAAAAATAAATATATATTTATGTTAGTTTGTATGCATATGTAGATATTATAAATATAATTCTAAGAGCAAATATGTATCAACTTTTCATGCAACTGTTACCAAAGCTATAAATATCATGTGGGATCTGTTTTGTTTCTCCATACGGAACATATACATAAATATAATACGAATACGACTGCATGTACGCTCGAGAAAATTAGATTCGCTTCGACTCTTCTGTTTATATATTTTGTGCAATCATGAATGGATGCACTTTCGAGCCAAAGGAGGATTCCTTTTTTTTTTTTAAGAAAATAAAAGAAACGATGGAATATTCCGTGGTATGGCATCAGACAGATCCAACACATTATGGGAAATTATATTTTAAACTTAATTACTAAAATTTGAAGTTTCAGTACAATAACTGCTTAATAATAATTTACCAAATTATGTTTGATGGAATCTTTCTTGACATTATCTGTTTAGTCTTAGGAATCCCAAGAAAACAAAAGAGCATCAAAAGGGAATCTGTCTGACAGTACAACTATACACACGACATATACACTTGTGTATGTGCGTCTTTGTGTGTATACTTAGACACTTTATAGACAAGTTCAACCACTCTCTCTCTCTCTCTCTCTCTCTCTCTCTCTCTCTCTCGCATACACACACACACACACATATATATATATATATATATAAAACTGCCATTATACAAGATATATATATATATAGACATGCAATAATGATTTAATTAAAATCAAATCAATCATGCTCAATATACACTCCTTTGCCTTGTAATGATTTTTATGATTTATGATTTACGAATACTTAAACTGATTAGACCCACGGGGACGCAAAACGTAACTCTATTATGAGATCGAACTCTAACTGGGGGGAGAGGTTTTCGACCTCGGAACCTTAGAAATATATATTTGAGCATGATTTAGTGAACTTCCTAATTAAAAAAAATAAAATTATGGAATCTTTTGTGCATGCTTATGATAAACTCGTTTGTACGGACCACGTAAATGACAGCATGTGAGAAAGGCCAATCAACTCGTATAATTTTGTTATTATAGAAAACTGATAAAACCCTAATTAATCAAATATTATTAATTTAAAGGTATATATAGTGCTGACTGTCACGACATATCAATAGTTATCGGTCCGGATAAGTGCGAGAGCGAAGTTAACACCTCAGTAAATTCCATATATTTAGCTTAGCCTTGTGGGAACTCGACCCCATGTCAGCAATTCGATATTAATTAGTGACATAAAAATAAGAAGAGAAGGTGTCTTTTTCTTCTCTATTAAATAATCTCAAATATTTTTTCATCTAAAATATAGATTCTTCAAATAAGCAATTACGGAATAATTAATAATCTGATGGTCAATTATTTAATTAGATTTAGTGATTTTGTTACATTTATTACTTAAATTCAATGTTACTAGGAGGGAAGTTAAAGAGTCTCTAATATCGCGTTGAATGGGAATGAGGGTTTGAAATTTAAATGATCCATATAACAGAGAAAATATATTGCATTGGTTGAAATAAAATTTTATTTGCAGCAAAAAAGAATTATAAACAAATGGAAAATCTCTTCAATTTATATATATGTTGAAAGGACCAACTTTGATTGACCAGGAAGTCTTTAGGGTTGGTCTTAAGCCGCCGCACAGTCAAATTTCGTCCGGGAAACAAGTGTGTAAACCACGAGAAACAATTAATGAAATTAATTTGTTAATGACTGATTAGTTTATTGTTAGGGCACGTTATTAGTTGTCTACTTTCCAACGAACGGCAGATGTTAATGCACCCATTTCTCCGACATGCCACAAGGAGATCATTAAAAGATTTGGTGGGGGGTAATATTTATTATGTAATTACTCGTATGTATACATGAAAACGTGAACATATGCATGCTAGTGGAGTGGGTATTAAATTATGTTAAAAACATTTCCAAAAAGGCAAAGTATATGAATTGGTTATACACATATTCTAATAACCTATGTACGCAGGGCTATTATTCCTACGTCCTTGTAACACGGAAACTCTCAACCCCATTGGCCGTGAAAGTTCTGTCAAAATCTTGCCAATATATCATGCACTTCTGAACACGTGTCAAAAACACTAGATTTGATAACTCAATTGCTTTTCCGAAGACCATATACAATGAATCGGACTTCTGTTTGGTTTTATCACACACAAGAACGAACTATAGACTTGGAATTTTAATTCATGAATAACATAAATCTAATATTAGTAACCCTAACGTTGTGTATAACCTTTGTAAACGTCACATATAAAATGTATATGTAGTCCATATATATATATATATGTATGTATGTGTGTGTATACACAAAGATGCTTGTGTTTTACAATTTTCTTGTTGGAGCCTAATAAAACAAGAGTTGGTGCGACTATTTTCCTAGATTAGGGTTTTCAATTAAAGCAAATTATCCCCCTATTAATATACATTGCTTTATTGATTATATATGCTAGTTAACAGGAATCTGAACAGCAAAGTGGAAGAGTGAAGATTTGGAATCCACTCAAAAAGAAGAGAATACAAACAAAACATTGTAAAGGTGAACCCCTCTTTCGTTCTCCCATATATATATATATATAATTTCAGTCATCAATTATATCGGCCAACGAAACCATCTCGAACCTCGACGTAAAATAGTATCCTCGGTCTACGATTAATTGATTAATCGCCGTGAGATTCACTGTTTATGGATAATTTTAATTGGTCAATTCAGGAGATTTTGTAGTCAATTCCTCGAGAAAGAAAACGTTGGTTGCCGTCATTGTCGTTATACAACGATTAATAAACTCATCAAGTTGGCCGAAAATCTGCGCAATCTATTTTCAAATAACTATGAGTTTTAAATACAACGAGATTTATGTTATATATATAGTTTGCTTTTCTTATTTTATAAAAATATTATAGTTATGTATTAGAAGTTGTGGAGAGTTCAAATGTTATGTGGAGTTTATATATTATTTTCGAACATATACATGAAAAATTACATTCTGTATGAGATTAAAATTTTATAGCAAAAGCAGATTAGATTATTTACTTAAACTCGCTTCGATTATGAAAACAAGAGTTATCGCTAATAACAACAAACATTTTCGTATATAACTACATACAATTCCACGAAACAGTTCACATGGACCAAGATTCCCTCGGTGAGCTTGTCGTTCCATTATTTCAGCTTCATGGTGTTGCTCGAATGCTTTTGCAACACGTGTTCCTGACGTATTCTGACACGCAAGCACTTGCGTAAGTACAACTCGAATACAATGCATGTGTATGTATATATGTATAGATGTTTCAAGGTATGCGTGTATGCAATCATGCGTGGGTAGTGGCGTTTTTTTTTTGGGTGGGATGTTCCAAGGTCTTTGGTCACATGTGGATCCATGTGACTCAGATGCTCTCATTATTGGGAGCAAACGAGTGTCCATCTTTGCTCAAGAATCCACTCTGACACGTCCGAAAGACGAAAAGGAAAAAGAAAAAAAATATATTTAGAAAAAAGTTGGTAGAAATGTAAATGATTTTTAGTGGAGGGTGGGTTTTCGGATTATTAAGTATTTGTTTATATATATTTGAAAAAGAGAGGAAAGTTAATTAAATTATTAAAAAAACAAAAACAAAAAAGAAGATAGAATTTCTTCGTGCATGAGCTTTTATCGAGAGCCGCATAAGAGAGTACAAAAACCATTTAAAGAAAGGAAATAAGAGAGGCATGGGGTTCCAACTAGTGGAGGGTGGGTTTTCGGATTATTAAGTATTTGTTTATATATATTTGAAAAAGAGAGGAAAGTTAATTAAATTATTAAAAAAACAAAAACAAAAAAGAAGATAGAATTTCTTCGTGCATGAGCTTTTATCGAGAGCCGCATAAGAGAGTACAAAAACCATTTAAAGAAAGGAAATAAGAGAGGCATGGGGTTCCAACTAGGGCTGGGCACAAATACCCGAAAATCAGGTATCCGTCGGATACTCGTCTCACGGATACCCGATTTTAAGATACTCGTAATTTTCAAATCCGAATCCAAATCCTGATTTTTCAATACCCGTGAATCCGGATCCGAATCCGGATAATAGAATTTTTAAAATCAGATCCCCGCGGGTACCCGCCTATTATGATTATAAATAATTATATCTTATATTTATATAACATTTTTATAAAATACAATTATTTTAGATAAAATAATTTTATATTTTTTTAATATTAATTCAAAAAAATTAAATTTATTATTATTTGTCTCTTATTATCTCTTTTGTCTTGTATATTTTATCATAATTCATCAATTTTTATAAATATATCTTCATGTTTTGAAAATTTTATATATGAATATTGTTGTTTTACTTAAATAAATCCGGATCCGGATATCCGCGAGTACTCGACTATTATTCCGGATACCCGTACCCCGGATACTCGTAAATACCAAATCCCGGATACAAATCTTATAGTTAAATACCCGAACCTCCCGGATCCGAATCCAAATCTCTCGATTTTCCCGGGTATCCGACCCGTGCCCACCCCTAGTTCCAACCATGTGAAAAGTTGGTAGGTTCCTTTCTATACTTCCACGATTATAAATTGTTTCTATTATTCGTGCTTATTGTATTCTTTCAATTTCATCGTTTAAAAGTATTTATGTGAACTTAATTCCGATTCTTTAGAAGATATAGTTGAGTGGAAAATTTAGTTAACTTACGAATTATGAAAAAAAAAATGAATATTTTGTAAAAAGTTTAAATTTTTTCTGATAATTCTGCTTGGACACCACAAAATGGGCAATAATATTTTCGCATAGAATGCAAATAATTGAACCGCTTTTAAGAATTTCCACATTTACATGTCTCTTTTTGGTTATCCAAGGCTACTTGTTTCGCCTTGGTAATGAAATATCCTTCGTAATTATTGGATGCCACTTGGGGATGACCCTTTTCGTGGGAAAATGACTCTCTTCTTTAATTGAGTGTTAGATTCATTGGTGGGTTCTAAGCCTTTTGTGTATTAAAGTTACATGTACCATCATGATCATTTAAAGACATTGTATTGCGCCAAGATTATAATGTACTTTTGAAACGGGTATCAATGCATCATGTATGATATATGGTATGGTATGATGCGTCCTATATATGGCGGTCATGATTAACAATTGCAGTTGAATTTTACATTTGCTTTTTAGCAAAAATATCAAGCTGTTAATAATAATAATAATAATAATAATAATAATGATGATGATGATGATAATGGTTGGTTGTTACCGCTGTATAAGTGATATAAACACACACAATTTTAAATAAAATCTAAAGAAACAGAAGTTCGCTCGAGACAAAATGTAATCTTTAATATAAACGTTTGGAAATAAAAAATGTAAAAATTAAAATATAAAAGCTTTTGGACTTCAAGTTAATGCCTTATGTATGGGCCAAATAAATATCATGTTATAAGATATTGGGCTTTTATATCATTCTCTCTCTTGTAACCCGAAGAAATGCGCCTACCCCTTTTCCCTTTTTTTAGTGGAAAATGTAAATATATGAAACAGTATGTGTACGTATTTGTGATTTTATTATATATGATTTCCCCCTTTTTGTTTTTGGGGTTTCTTGAACTTCCAAAATGGTTTTTAAATTCAAATGGATTTAATAGGTCAGTTGAGGCAATTCGGCCTTGATTTTTTTTAGATTTTCTTAGACCAAAAAAACATGAATACAAACATGAACATGTAATACAAAGACAGAGGAACAAAACAACGTTACATCGCACACATTATACGACAACACACATCTAAAGACACGTAGAATCGATCCCATGCATGCATGTTTACGAACACATTTTCACTTCTTCTTGATGACGATGAATTCGCTCTCACAATTCTCCGACACAATCTGAACCTTCTTCGCATCTAAACCTTTCACCTTCACATAACACGTCACCGTCACTCCCTTGTTCCGTTTCAACGGTCCTACACCGTACTTCGCATCGAGATCAGCCGTCAGAACCAGTTTCACCGGTTGTTTCGATTCCGGAGGCAACGACGCGTTCTTGGATCCGTCGAGCTTCAGACGAACTTTGTCGGATCCGGACGCGGATTGCGACAACTTCGGGAACCTCCCACGTCCGAGATTCTTGTTCTTGTAAGAGATCGAAACGCCGGCGCTCTGCATGTAATCGACCCCCATGTTTGACGTGGGGTTCTCGGCTCTCAACGTGATATCAAACGACAGAATGCGAGATTTCTGGGTTTTGACAGCGAAGTTCTCGATGGTGAACAACGGAGGAACTGGTCGGAAGACGAAATTAACGACCAAAGCGATAACACCGGCGATGATCCCGAGAACGATCAAGACGAAGAGGAACCATGCAAGGCGTTTACAACATCCACCTTTCTTGGCTTTCTCCGGTTTCCTTCTCCGTTCGGCGATTTTGGCGTGTTCGGGGGGAGGGACCCAATAGACCTGGTCACGTGGGACTTGGACGACATAGGTCTCGACCTCGGGGATGGGTTCCGGCGGAGGAGGACGTGGCGGAGTGAGGGAGGGGGAGAAGTTGAGGGAATGCTTCCGCCAATGGGAGGGGGAGGGGGTGGCCGAGGCAGAGGGGAGGGCGGGGAGACTGGCGGAGGGGCGGTGGACGGCGGAGGAGGGAGGATCGTCGGGCTTGTCTTCGTCGGCGGCGGCATATGGCTGAGGAGGAAGCCGTGGCCCCTCCATCGGAAAAACGTTGAGTCGCCGGTGGTTTTGTTTTTGGTCTTAATTTGGAGGACGACTAGAGAGATGGAGGGGAGGTCGGGGAGACTGGCGGAGGGGCGGTGGACGGCGGAGGAGGGAGGATCGTCGGGCTTGTCTTCGTCGGCGGCGGCATATGGCTGAGGAGGAAGCCGTGGCCCCTCCATCGGAAAAACGTTGAGTCGCCGGTGGTTTTGTTTTGGGTCTTAATTTGGAGGACGACTAGAGAGATGGAGAGAGGGAGGAGGAAATGCGAAAATTAGGGTTTGCATGGCTTAACTTTGGTTGGTCTGGAGACAATTTTGCGTTTTGGAGTTCGCCAACTCACGTTCCTCATTTTTATCCGTCTTTTTCTCCTTTTTAATTTTTTTTTTAAATTTCAATAATTGTTGAAAACAGATCCGATAGCAAAATTTAATCTTTTGATAAACGCGATCCACCAATATATAACCACCCAAGTTAGTAAGCAATCAATGATATAGATGTTTTTTTTTGTCGTGATTATGTAACATGTTATCCTTTAAAAAACGCACACGTTGGATTTGGAAAGGGGTAATTTCGTAATAAACACATTCAAGGCCTCGCCCGTGCGATTGTGGGCTTCATAAAGGTCTTCGGCCCATATATAATTCCCACGCTGGATTTGGAAAGGGGTAATTTCGTAATAAACACATTCAAGGCCTCATCCATGCGGTTGTGGGCTTCATAAAGGGTCTTCGGCCCATATATAATTAGATATGGGCTTATTTCGTGTGGGTCATATTAGTATCACCAGAAATTTCTGTCGAACGATTCTCTGAAATTCTTGTTTGACTTCGTCTCTCGTTAGTTTTTCAGTCAAACCTATTATTAATTTATTATTATTATTATTATTATTATTATTATTATTATTATTATTATTATTATTATATCTCATTCCACGTGTACCGCGTGGCACCACTAACTAAAACAAGTACATACCAATGACACCGATACCGACACCTAACAGTTATGAGATTGATGTTTTTTTTTTTTGTGATTCAGTATGGTAATGAGGAAATAAGTTAGAAGAAAATACATATTTTAGGAGTAAAATAAGAAAAAAAATTATATGTCGATGGTACCATTTCCAGAATATGCTTACCATGTTTCTCGAAAGCACCCAGATTTCAACTAGAAAATGAACATTACATGTGAAATAGTATTCATGAAACAAGTAAGTTACAACAATTTTTCAAAAAAAAGGAAATTATAAAGCGGAATTTGCCTTATTTGTCAGATATGGATTAGTATTACAAGGGGTAGTTACGTAATCTTCTATTCCTGTCCCGGCCGATCCTATCCCCATAGAGTACACCGAGTAAACGACGTACGGTGACGAGAACTCTACACACCGTTGACACGTGTTCGCATCTTGACGGATATCCGTTCGAAACATTGCCACGTCACTGGAATACGCTGGTCATTGAAGCACATGATAACGACATCGCATGTTAAAACCCCGTAATACCCTTTACTCTCTATAATTTTGCACATTTATAAATGTGTATACATATGTCTGTCTCTCCAAGATCCGAGCAAAAGCTTACCGGAACAGATGGCTCGCCGCGACGTTCTCCTCCTCTCTCTCCTCATCGCCGTCACCTTCGCCGTCGCTTTCGCCGTAAGTTCCGGAAATCTCCTCCGTCTCCATTTTTTTTCCGATATCTACCACCGATTTTGACTTTTTTTTTTTATTCAATCGGATTTTCTGATGTCGCAGGATGATCCGGACTGTGTGTACACATTCTACATCCGAACAGGATCGATCTTCAAGGCAGGGACAGATTCGATCATCAGCGCGCGAATCTACGACAAGTACGGGGACTACATCGGAATCCGAGATCTGCAGGCGTGGGGAGGCCTGATGGGTGCGGATTACAACTACTACGAGAGGAGCAATCTCGATATTTTCAGCGGGAGAGCGCCGTGCCTGCCGAGCCCGGTCTGCGCCCTGAACCTGACCTCCGACGGCTCCGGCGACCACCATGGATGGTACGTCAACTACGTGGAGGTCTCGACCGCTGGGGTGCACGCCCAGTGCTCGCAGCAGAGCTTCGAGATCGAGCAATGGCTCGCGGTCGATGTGTCGCCGTACGAGCTCACCGCGGTCCGCAACAACTGCCCGGTGGCCAGCCGGGTCGGGTCAGATATCCGGAAGGCTCTCTCTTGGTCCGTGTGAGATGAAGATGATGATGATGGAGGAGAAGGAAGAGGTCTGTGTTTGTCGTTTTGTGATCGGAATAACGAGTGATTGATAAATAAAACGATTGGCTGTGCGTCGGTGAGGTTGAGTTGTGGTTAGTGTGTATCAATTTGCGATTAAGAGATGACCAATGGTTTGCATTCTAAGACTCGTTCTTCGTGGATTTTAATTTTTTGGACACTTTTAATACGTTAGAACTGATTTGAGAGTGGTCCGACATAAACCCAACTAACACCAAGTAGCTGTAAGAATATGAATGCCGAATATTAATTTGACGCTTTCACATATAAGGACACCCTCCTTTCAGACATGAGTCAGTAGTGGCTCTGTGGTTGTGGTCCACTGCGTATCTAAGTTTTTGTCACTTTTGTCCAAACAAAAAAGCTCAAACCATAAAAAATGTTTCGATTTACCGCATTAATAAACTAATTCAATTCGAACCATTGACTCGGTGAAACTCCAATCTTTTAAAAAAAAAAAAAAAGTTTGTTCCGAATTGATTTGGTCATTTTGGAACGGGGCTTACTTCGTTCACAATCTCTCGGGAAAGCTCATCAGCGGAATACTCGACGCCAAAGCATCTGACCACTTCCATCTTAGGGTTCAACAAGTACCTGCATTGTCCGTTCAGTTCACGCATGAGCCATTTTCATTTTTCAGACGTGCAAGCTTTGATCACGATCATCCCCTGAAGAGACTTACATGTTGTGAGAAGTGTCGACGAGATAATCGTCCCCATCCTCTTCCACCTTCTTGAAATAGACTCTGTATTCCTGAGCCATCTGCCTTATTGCACCTACAGCTCCAGTCAGTCCCATTATCCTTCCGTCAAACTCTGGCATAACATATTAACGAAAGAGACTTGTCAGAGAACTATCCCCATGAGCAAGGCAAGAGACAATGGAAGGTGGGCAAAGCGAGACAGACCTTTTAGGTATGCATCGAGATGAGAAGCAGTGTCGTGTTGAGGGTCTATGGTGACAAACACAGGGAGGATCTTCAGATTATGGTTGCACTCTGGTTATTCGGACATTGTAAGATTGGTTACTCAATGCGGGCTGATATCGATATGACTTAACTAAAAGAACATCAGAGATTTGGTTTCAGTTACCGAACCTAGTTTGTCTATTGCCTCAGCCATCATCTTTAATTGCACCGGGCCAACATCGGGAGAGAATGTGTACCCAAAGTAGAGTAGAACCCAGTTCCCAAGAAAGTCTCTCTCCGTTACAATCTTTTTTTCTGTACTGATCAAGGTGAAGGGTCCCCCGATAATCGGACCCTTAACTGTGGTATTAGAGACAGGGTTGCCCCCCTGACCTGTTAGAACAAGCAGACAATCAACGGAAAGAAGATCTCAATCATGTATGCTGCAGAAGCTATGCCAATCTAATAGCAGTATCCAGATACATCAAGATGAATGGCACGAGGTGCTAATGATGAAGAACTCATGGGGCATGGACTCATGCTGCACTTTATGACTGCATACGAGATACTACGGAATTAACCCAATTGAGATTCACCGGGCAGTATGAGCAAAGAAGAGATACACGAGAGATAAAAGGTTTCAGACTCCAGGTCCAACCCAAAACCCCGAAAAATACCTTTCGGAACAGCTCTCCTTTCATCGTTGTAATGGAGAAATGCAGCAAATCCAGCAAAACCGAGCACTACAGCAGGCTGGAAACGGAACAAGTCATCATACATTATAATCAGACCGGCAATCAACATGTTTGAAACACGATTCAGAAACAAGTGCACCAAAAGAGAAGAACTTTTTAAACAATACAGCGGCATAAGGAGCCCACGAGCGAGAAGCCTGAGTTTCCGTGGCCAACACAGGATTACGGTATGGTCTTCTATAGTTCTCTCTTGACGAATTCGTGCAATTGAACGCCTGAATTCGCTTAGACGGTCCACATCTACATGTTGCAGGGATATGAATACGGTGTTAAGTAGATTCAATAAGCCCGACCCGGTTCTGTTAAACCCTCAAAAACCAAAGGTTGAGCCCAAAAGGGATCATCGTTGATGGACAAACATTACCAATCGTAATCCCGTCAAAGTAACCGGTCAAAATAAACTCGACCTACTGCCAATGAAAATTGAGTTCTTAGTTTCAGATGAACACTTCCGAAAGAGGGAGCAAATTCGAAGTTTAAGAAACAATCTCTGTAGCGCAGATGGTATCTTCCCAAGTGAGACGGCTGCTAAAACACAGACGCTTTAATCCGAGAAGAAACTACAAACACATCAGGAGAGAAGGTGAGATTAGGGTTTTAGGATTGACTAACCTTCGCAGCAGATTGACCGCGTGCGCCGTGCCCTGTTTGGAGGAAAGGAAAACTCGGCGAGAAAATGTCATTGGTTTCTCGTGAAAGTAATCGCCTCATTGCCAAATCTTTTCCCGAGAATCTCTCGAACCCATCTCCGACTTCATTTTCCCAGAAGAAGCACAAATAAAAAACGAAAAACCCAAGACCCGAAATTCGTGCTTCGTCCTGCAATTGCGATTTTTATTTTCTTGGTGTCCAAGATCGTTCTTTTTTTTTTTCTTCTTCCCAGTGAGGGGCTTACAACGGACACCAGGTTTCGCTTCTCTTGTTGGGCCTAAGCCCAAATTAAGTTTTTCTTTAAAAAAATATAAGGTTCAAAATGATTAATTTCAAGGCCATAAAAATACAAATTGGTCAAAATCACGACGACTAGATAAATAGATTAATCACAAAAAAAAATCAAATCATTCCACAAATAGTTGGCTATAGTTATTTCCCTGTATGTCCTCGTGGGAGAGGGAGAGAGAGAGAGAGAGAGAGAGAGAGAGAGAGAGAGAGAGAGAGAGGGTCGCTTGGCTCCAAGAAGATTCTCCCAATCACAGCACGGAACATCAAACACGTGGTCCGAATGGGATCCAACAATCCCAATAATCAGAGTTTTCAGAATTTCGTGTGATTTTATTTATAATTTATGAGAGTAAATATCTCTGATTATGTGCTTCGAAAATCACAAATGTATTTATTGCATCATTCGAACGAACAGGTGTTCATATATTATTGTCCAACCTTGATCACTGAACTCGAGCACAGCTTCTTCATCATTGTGTGTGCGATTGATGTCATGATAATATGTTCAAAATGGAAATGATTATGGCAAATTCGGCCTATGGATTCTCTCTCTTTTTTCTCTGTGGCACACAAAAAAAAGATCTTGTTTACTGGGTGTTAAAGCAAAGAAACAGCATATTCAACATCTAGAAGCTTCAAATCAACAAATGGAAGTTTGGAGCTGAATCTAGAAAGAAACTACAAAAGGAAAGAAGACAGTTGCATCAATGAAGAAAAATAAAAAATGCATATTATGAAGATATTGAGAGAATCAATGGACGAGGGGATATATGGACTGAAGACGTGATTGTCAAAGATTGGGAGATTAGTTTTGAGGAGTGCAGAGTCTATAATCTCGGTGAGAGAACATGTACGGGAAACACTGGTGAGAGATTTCTGAGTGAACGTGAGTTTTATCTGAGGGGGAGTCTTAAGTTACAGACGAACCGCTCGTTAGGCCTAGACGCTGTCTAGGGAGACACGGGGTGTGCGTTGCACACATAGTGTGTGTTGCTGGTAGAATTTCTTGTGGTACGGGAAGTCTTACTCAGGGGGAGTAAGACCGGGTGAGTTGAGTGCTACTTGGAAAGGTTGAAGTGTACTTGACACGTATCAGAGAAATAGAACCACTGTAAACCGCTCTGTAGGCCTAGACGCTGTCTAGGGTGACACGGGGTGTGCGTTGCACACATAGTGTTTGTAGCTGATAGAATTTCTTGTGGTACGAGAGGTTTACTCAAGGGGAGTAAGACCGGGTGAGTTGAGTGCTACTTGGAAAGGTTGAAGTGTACTTGACACGTATCAGAGAAATAGAACCAGTTTGGATTTTTGAGTTATTGAAAAATCGTGTGATTATAATTTTTCAATTGGTATCAGAGCTGGTCACTGATCGTAGGAATTTATTGTCCTCTCATATCGGTGCACGGTTCAGATTCACACGATGGAAGGTCTCAAGGAATTACAGATCATTGGAAAAACTGCCCTGCTGGATTCTACCAATTATGGGCACTGGAAAGTCAAGATCAGTTCGTATATCCGAGGACTGGATGAAGATACCTGGAGTGTTGTTACTGATGGATGGACTCGACCCATAGATATCATTGATGGAGTAGCTAAACCGAAGCCGAAGAGCTTATGGACACCTCAAGAGAAGAAGGATTCTGCTACGAATCAGAAAGCACTATCTATCATTTTCAGCAGCGTGTGTCATGAAGAGTTTGAACAGATTCAAGGATGAGAAACTGCTAAGGATGCATCAGACACCTTGGAGCTTATTCATGAAGGAACATCCAAGGTAAAACAAAACAGATTGGATATGATAGATCTTCAGTTTGAACTTGAGGATAGAAGATGACGAAAGTGTTAAGGAATTCTGTGGGAAGTTGAGTGCATTATCAAATGAGGCAAGTGTACTTGGGAAAAGAATCAGTAATGATAAGCTGGTAAAGAAACTTCTGAATAGTCTACCAGCCAAGTATCACTCACAGATTCTAGTATTTGAAGGCGTTAATAATCTGGAGACTGTCACATTCAAGGAAGCTGTTGGAACGTTTGCAGCACATGAGTTGAGACTGCAACTAATGAATGGTGGATCCTCTGTTCAAACTAAGAAGGGACAAGGTATTGCTCTTCATGTTCCTGAGACTACTGTTACTGATTCAAAAAATAGAAGACAAGTAAAGAATAAAAAATAGGCTGAAGAAGAGTTGCATGATGAGATGGCACTGGTCATCAAGAAGTTCAATAGATTTTTCAAAGGAAAGAAGAAATTTGGACAACAAAGCGACAGAGATTCAGGAAAATGCTTATAATGTAAAGGCACAGGACACTGGAAGGCTGACTGTCCAAGTATTGCAAAGAGAGAAAGTGTGCTAAAGAATCTCAAGGAGACACAGTGTTTTGAATGCAACGGATTTGGACATACTAAGATGGAATGTACTAAACAGAAAGAAAAATCATTCATCTCTCATGAAGATAGCTCATCTGAGGAAGAGAGTGATGAAGAAAATATGTCCAATTTTGTAGCGTTTCTTGGGATTATTGAAGAAGAAAATGATCAAGCAGAGGACAGTGATGAAGAAGAAGTCACTGAGGATGAATTGTTCACGGAAATGAACAAGTTGGTATTGATGAATAAGCAACTAATCAGTGAAAAACAACAACTGGAGAAGGAGCTCAGACAAGTTCAACTGTTGCTGACAGACACTCAACAGAAACTTACACAAAAAGAAGAAGAGGCATCTTTGATGAAATGTCAATTGGAAGGAACCAAGAAGAATCTACATCTTCTTGGAAATGGGACTGGAAAATTAGATCATCTACTTGGACAAGGTCGGAACACTGAAGATCATTCTGGTCTTGGATATCGAGGTAAATCTTCGTCGGAATCTAATTTTGTGTCTGGAGGTAACTTGAGTCCAGATCTACCTGAGATAAAGCGAAAAAGCTCTCCCTCAAGACAACCAGTACGTCCATCAAACTGGAGACGCCAAGAGGACATATGTTGTTACCACTGTGGTAAAGTGGGACATCTCAGACGGAACTGTTTCTATCTAAGAAGGAACAGAGGCTTTTCCAGGTATCCATCACCCTCTTTTGGTTATTCTCCTTGGAACTTAAGATGGATTCGGAAATCAGATCTAAACTATAATGTTGCTTATACTACTGAGCAAACCGAAAATACTGGAACCTGGTACTTTGATAGTGGTTGCTCAAGGCACATGACAGGGAATCAAGAACTGCTCAAAGATTTTGTAGCAACACAGAATGGGGGAAGTGTCACTTTTGGTGACGACAAACAAGGAAAGATTCTTGGTAAAGAAATGCTGGATCATGCTGGGTTACCTAAATTAACCGAAGTTAAGTTGTACAAGGATTGAAAGCCAATCTTATCAGCATAAGTCAGCTGTGTGACACTGGAATGAGAGTGAAGTTTACAAAGAACGTCTGCTTTGTAACTGACGCTGAAAATAAGTGTGTTCTAACAGGGAAGAGGAACACAAACAACTGCTATACTTGGGTTCACACGCGTGGAGTCTGCACAACATCTGAATTTCATCGCAAAGAAAGACGACATGGAATTATGGCATCAAAGACTTGGACATATTAATATGCGTGCGCTGGTCAAATTGTCAAAGTCAGGTGCGATTCGGGATTTGCCAGAATTATCTCACGATGACAAGTTTGTGTGTAAAGCATGTCAACTGGGTAAACAGATTCGCGTTTATCACAAGAAAACAGACCAAGTCCATACAACAAATATCTTGGAGCTTATGCACATGGATTTAATGGGCCCTATGCAAACTGAAAGCTTTGGTGGAAAACGGTATGTTCTTGTTTGTGTTGATGATTACTCCAGATTTACTTGGGTCAAGTTCCTTCGAGAAAAATCTGAGGCTTGCGTTGCATTCCAACATTTGTGTCTTCAACTGGAAAATGGAAAGGGAATGGTGCAACGGATACGGAGTGATCATGGTAGAGAATTTGAGAATGACTTGTTTCACACATTCTGTGCCACTTATGGTATTACTCATGAGTATTCAGCCCAAAGACTCCTCAGCAAAATGGAGTGGTGGAACGGAAAAACCGAACTCTTCAGGAAATGGCACGATCTATGCTGCATGCTAAAAACGTTGCTATAAGATTTTGGGCTGAAGCCATGAGCACTGCGTGTTATCTGATCAATCGGATCTATCTGCGTTCTGGTCTGTCCAAAACACCTTACGAAATCTGGAAGGGACGGTCTCCCCCCCTTAAGTATGTTCATGTGTTTGGCTGTACGTGCTACATACTCAATGACCGAGAGTATCTTGGTAAGATGGATCCCCGCAGTGATGAAGGAATATTTCTTGGATATGCTCAAAACTCAGCTGCGTACAGAGTGTACAATCTTCGTACTAAGACAGTGATGGAATCCGCAAATGTTATCTTTGATGAAGAAACACAACGGAAGGTTGATAGCATCTCACTGGAGCCAAGTCCTTCTCGCGGTATTCCAGAAGGCTCTCGTGCTGTCTCTGACCCCCCTCTCAAGGATGAGTCAGATGGATCTTCCACCGACACTGGCGAGTTTGACGACAATTTGTCAGGACCTGACACGTCAATTCCTGTACACAAGAATCATTCACCTAATGATTTAATTGGTGATCTTCAGGCTCCTCGTCAAACTCGGCACAAGCCCAGGATCAACTATCAAGATATGGTTCGGTTTGTATGCTTCAACTCCCAGATTGAACCAAAAAAGGTTTGTGAAACACTTCATGATGAGTTCTGGGTTTGGGCAATGCAGGAAGAGCTGGAACAATTTGTCCGCAATGATGTCTGGTATTTAGTTCCTCGCCCTCAACATACAAATGTCATTGGTACGAAGTGGATTTTCAAAAACAAGACTAATGAGTTTGGGGAGATTGTTCGCAACAAAGCACGCTTAGTTGTACAGGGTTGACTTAACTGAAGAGCCAACACAAATCACATCTGAAATGAGTAATCCTGAAGCCGGTGAAAATCAAAAAGAGGATGTGATCGAAGAAGTTGTCTATGAAGATGCCCAGGAAAAAGATGGTGTGAATGATGAACGGACGATCATTGAAACACTGAAAGAATTATACAATGACCCAGAGAAGGAGGATGAAACTGAAACACAATCTCGTGCCCCAGAGATATCTCTGCCTAATCCGGTGAGTTCAGATGATTCTGATAGCCCTCTGATTATCTTGCAACAGAAAGCTAAGGCCAGAAACATAACTCGAAAGCGCAAAGGCACTTCAGCACATGGAAGGACACACTTGAGCAATGTTCAGAGAGCTCAGAGAAGGAAAACAACTCGGAAGGGAAAAGGCACTGGTAACGACGGCCCTTCAGAACCATCTGCTCCACACAGTGAAACAGGTGTTAAACCACTCTCTGATAGATTTCTGTCTGTCGAAACTAAGAAGAGGTTTGACAAGTTTAAAGGAGTAGATGTAATTGCTGAACGCAATGTCAATGTGATGGATTTTCGGAAAAATTACATTTGGAATTTGTTTGAAGAAAGGCAACTGACGGGGACGATGACTTATGCTTGTGCATTCAGTAAACTACTTGTCAGAGAGTTTTATGCAAATCTCACTCAACGCACTGACATTCCTGGAGATTTCATGCATCACAAGACCTTTGTGAGAGGTCGATTTATTGAATTTTCTCCGACAGTCATCAATCGGTTGTTGGGAACACCCGATAACGCCTCACAAGGATTAGACGATCTACCTGAAGGTACTTCACTTGAAGATTTGGAGGTAGCTCTCACTGGAGAGTATTTGACAGAAAGGAATGGGAAGATTCCCATAATTTGTCTCAAGTTTGAAAGTCGGGTTATGCATCTGATTGGAAAGACAAATTGGTTACCGACTCGAAGGTCTGATGTGATTCAAGATGAGTTAGCATTACTGATATTCAAGCTGCTGAGGAAAGAAGACGTAAATTTTGGCTCCATCATCTACAGTCACATACTGTCCAGAGCTGAGGATATGAGAATGCGATATTTGCTGCCTCATCCCTGTCTCATCCAGAGTATTATTGTCCGCCAAAGTCCAGAGATCCTTGCTGACTCAGAAATTACTGAAGTAATTCAGCGGCCCTTGGTCATAGAAGCCAGAGTACAACAAGCTAGGATGAGTTGAGCACAACTCTGTAGCAAGACGTTTACTGTCCTCATGAAACATGACAAGCAGCTACTTCAAGTGGAACAACTCTAGAGGAAGAACACTAAAATCATAGCTCAGATCTGTGCCCCTCAACACGCTCTTTGGGAGGAGTTTCAGAGTAATTGCTAGCTAGTATTCTTCCCCAAGGTATGGTTTCTGAACATTTCATGTCTAATGTTTTGAATTTCTGCTTACCCACACAGGGGGAGAAAGTGAAAGTGGAGCACCCTCATCAAGCGTAAAAGACAAAGGCAAAGGAAAAATGGGTGAGGATGAAGAGGATGAAGTAGCAAGTGAGGCTGAAAAGGAGGAGGAGGAAGGAGAATCAGAAGAAACTGGAGAACAGAGTGAATGAAACTTCCTGCTCTGTGAAGTTGATCTGTGTTGTGCTAATCATTATATCTTATCAGCTACTTGGTTTTTTCTGTTTGTGTTTATAGTTTCGTCTGTTGTGCTGATCTTTGTTGTTTTCTTGCTAGTTCCTGTCTTTCTCCTAACTTGTTGAACTTAATGGATAGTTATATCCTAGTTGTTATGAATTGTTTTTGTGCTCTGTGAGTTTTTAGTGTGTCTAAGCAGAAAGTCAAAAAGGGGGAGATTGTTAAAGAAAGTAAACAGCATATTCAACATCTAGAAGCTTCAAATCAACAAATGGAAGTTTGGAGTTGAATCTGGAAAGCACAAATGGAAAGAAGCTACAAAAGCAAAGAAGACAGTTGCATCAATGAAGAAAAAGGAAAAATGCATATTATGAAGATATTGAGAGAATCAATGGACGAGGGGATATATGGACTGAAGACGTGATTGTCAAAGATTGGGAGATTAGTTTTGAGGAGTGCAGAGTCTGTAATCTCGGTGAGAGAACATGTACGGGAAACACTGGTGAGAGATTTCTGAGTGAACACGAGTTTTATCTGAGAGGGAGTCTTAAGTTACAGACGAACCGCT